TAAATCACACGAGTGATCATATAGGATCGCATGTGATATTGCAGATAGTGAAAAGCCAAACTTCTATGAACCACTACAAGCTAAAATGATGATACTTGCATGCTTGAAAGTATTAAGATGAGTCTTAGTATGCATAAATGAGACTTATGAGCAAAAGGTGATGCATTCATTTTAATGATAATGAAATGTGATTAAGCTTTCAAAGTTTTCACATTAAATCTAAAAGAATTAAATGACTTATCTTAGTTCTTCATCTCTCTTGATTCTTCATGTTCTTGAGGTTTTGTTTTCATCCATGATTCTTTATATATGCACACATAACAAATACCTTTTTTAAAAATCAAAACACATAATCCAACATACTACACTAAAAATCATTTAGGCTAAAAACAAGTTGTGGTTGTAAAGAATTCGTTCAGGCCAAGAATAATTTTATAGCCAAAATTATTTTTTTATTCAATTGAAAAGTGAAATGGGTGAATGATTTTATTTTTTTTTATTGATGTGACATTTTATTCACTGTTGACTATGAAAAATTTTTGCTTTCCCTTCTTTCTTTGCTTTTCCCACATGATTCATTTAAGCATGGGATAGATGCCCACTTACTATTTATTGTTAATGCTCTTTCGGCACTTGATGAGTTTGATAGAACATATGAGTACATGCAATAGTATTGGAAAAATATTGATGATGGATCCAACGTATTATAGTGATATTGGGTATACAATAAGTTTTTCACCTTCTTCTACTAGTATCATCTTTTTTTTATTTTATAAAAAAGTGTTATAATTTTAATGTATTCTTGTTTATTTTAGGCTGATATAGCAAAGGGGGTTATGCAGGCTAAAGATTAATTTTCATTCAAAATGCTCTCATTGCATTAATTATTAAAATAGGGTTGCTTAAGACCAACACATGTAATGAGAAGGGTTGCATAGAGTAAGAGTGGGTGAGTTGACAAGAGATGATGATAATGATGAGGGTGAGATGTAATGAGACTCGAAATTGAATAGGATTAAAAGTAGTAAAAGGGATAATAATAATGATGAGGCTGGCATATAATGAGATTGACTAAAATTTTGAAGCTCTTATTCCCTACATTTTTATTTTCAATTAGTGGTTAGGTAGACAAATAACTACCACGTCACTTGCTCGATCTATCTCCACAAATTTGCAAACGAGGTAACTCAACTCTTGATGGAGCAAGCTGAGGATTCCTTTTAAATCGTTGTCTTCTCATTGTAAATAAGATATTGCATTGGTTTTGATCAACCTTATCTTGATAATCAATGTAATGAGAACATTCTGAATGAGAATTAATCTTTGTCCTGTATAATTCCTCTGCTAAGTTAGCCTAAAATAAATAATAAGACATTAGATTATAACACTTTTTTATGAAGAAAAAAGATGATACTAGTGAAAGAAGGTCAAAAAACTTATCGCATACCTAGTATCGTTACTAATATGTTGGATCTATCATCAGGTCTGTCTCCAATACTATTACATATACTCAGATATTCTATTAAACTCATTGAGTGCAGAGTGAGCGTTTAACAATAGTAAGTGCCCATTTATCTCATGCTTGAATGAATCACACAGGAGAAGCAAAGTGAGAAGGAAAGTAGAAATTCTCGCAATTGATAATAAATAAAATATCACGTTAATAGAAAAAGGATGAAATTATTCAGTTAATGAATGATTTCACTTTTCATTGAAGAAAAAAAAAATTCTGACTGCAAAGTTGTTCTTTGCTTGAATGAGTTCTTCACAATCACAAAACTTGTTTTTGATCTGAATGATTTTTGATATAGTATTTAAGTAAAAACTTTTCAGAGTACAACATTTTGATAATCCTTTTTACTATTTATAGTATATTGACAAAAAAGCCAAACTTCACGCTGCACGAGCATGAGATTATGTCCGACGTTAAGTCTGAATTCGACGAGTTACTTCTGATCAGATTCTTATTTTGACATCAAATTTAATGAGGTAAGCTCATTTTATCATATGATTTAATATTTTGATTTCAATATAATAGTGGTTAATTTTTTTACATATTAGAAATATTTTATTAGTAGGGTAGATATTTATGTAATTGCAGTCTAATGATATTTTATTAATGTTATTGTGCTAGTATGTTATGTGATTATCTTTTGATTATGCTATATGCTGGATAAATATTTTTATAATTCAACTTAAGTGATATTTTATTAGTTAAGGTTGCATAATAATAATAATAATAATAATAATAATAATGTTGTCATTGAAATATTAATTGGTGTGAACACCAATGCATGTTGTGTTCGAAGAAAAGAAATTATAGTAAAATAAAATAAATTACTATTATCATCATTATTTTATAAATAAATAAATAAGTTATATGTTAAATCACTACTACAAAACTGCATAGACGCATCACATGGGATAATTTACTCTACAACCGTCATATATATATATATATATATATATATGAGGAGACGGAGAAAGAGTGCAAAATATATTTTAACACGAATAGTTATAAAGGGAACCATCCTATATGTTAATAATATAGGAATGGTGCCTTCTCAAACCGTCCTATATAATTTTTTAAAGATTTTGAAAGAATTAATTTTTTCAAATACAAACATATACATGATGGTTCTAATTTATAGGACGGTTCTCCTTAGAACTATATATAGTATTTAAAATCCCTAATCCCCTTTTCGTTTTAGTTTGCGAACAGATCGACCATCTCCGTCGCATACATCATCTTCTCCCTATGTCTCGCTCAAAAACCAGAACGCTGGACCCACAATCCACAACCCAGATCAACAAGAGCTCTTCTTCCTCTTCTCCGTCGCGTCGTCACTCACGGCAACATTAAATAACACGTTTGGTGACTTCAGACTTTGAATTTGACAACACGTTCGGCTTCATCCTTCGCGCTTATCTTCTTCACGTTTGACCTTCTTAGAACCCATAACCTGCTCAAGTCTGCTTATTCAACTTAATCAATTATTTTTTAACTTGATTTTTCAGTTTATTTTTTGATTTTAGTTTTTATTTCTTTTGTTGATTGAAATTTTCTATTAACGTCTTATCTTGCATATGGTATTAACCCAAACAGGCTCCGTTGATAACTTTATAATGGTTTGCTCGCTGGTTTTAAGATTTTTCAAGGCTTGACCCAAATTATTACCTCTACCTTAAAATAAAATTTATATATTTAATTTTATAAACATAATATACTTATATCCGATCAAATTATGACAAGTGGCTTTTAAGGTATTAATAATATTAATAACAATATTTTATTATAGAATAACAAAAGAAAAATTAATCATTTGATCATTATAATTTTAACCTATGTAATTTAGTTCACGAATTTTACCTTTTACAATTTAGTCGTTGAAATTTCAACTACTTACATATTAATTCTTATATTTTAAAAAATAAAATTATAAAGATTAAAAATATTTTAAAATTTATTACTAAGATATTAAATGTTTAAAATATTTTTAATCTTTATAATTTTATTTTTTTTAAAATATAAGGATCAATATTTTAGATGTTGAAACTTCAAAAACTAACTTGCAAGAGGCAAAGTTCAGAGATTGATTTACAACCAAATCAAAACTCAAAAAACTGAGTTATAACAAATCAAAATTTAAAAATTGAGTTACAACTAAATGAAAACTAAAAAAACTGAATGATTAATTTTCTCAATAACAAATCTATAAAACATTCACATGTATTAATTTAATTGAACATAAACAAAGCATATAAGTTTTTCCTTTAGGAAAATGACAATTAAGGAACTCATAAGGCTATTAATTACAATTAGGAATCCTAAATTGTTGAAATTTTAATAATAAACTATGATCATTACTTAGAATTAAAAAGATATATAAGTTTACAAAATTGCTCTTAAGTAAAAAAACACTACTAAAATTACCATTACAAGTTAGGATTATTATTAATTTTAGTTAGAAAAATTAGGATCCATGCTTGGGAATAAGTTGTTTTTAAGTATGAAATTAAATTTCACTTATAAAACTTCCTAAAGACACTTGTGAATATACGATAGTTACTTCTGAGTATGAACTAATCACTTGTGAATTTTTATGCTTGTTAATATATAGGTAAATTCCTTGAAAAATTAAGAAAAAATTGTTGAAATTACTATCATGTGTTAAAACTATTGGTAACCTTAGTTAGAAAAACTAAAATCCCAAATGTTATGAGTTAGGACTATTAGAATTATTATTATGAGTTAAAATTATTATTAATATCATTCCTAAGTGTAGATTTTAGTTTTTTCAAACAAGATTAACAATAATACAACTTATAATAATAATTTTAATAGTGTCTTTTTTTTATTTTTAAAGTGAGACTCAATTAACTATTTTATACGTTTACCCGAGCGCAATTTTATAAATACATATATGTTTTAATTTTAAATAAGGATCATGATCCATTATTGTAATTAACAGTCGTATAGGGTTCTTAATTATCTTTTTCCTTTTTCCTTTTAACTGCAACACTGATTAGGACTAAAATACCACAAGTCCCAAAGCTATAACTACAAGTTTATTTTATCTAATGTTTGTTTTAGTGGCCTTTTTTTTCCCCTCCAAATTTGTTTTAATTTTTTTAAAAATCAATAAAACACAAGGTTGGAAAAATCACAGTTTGCCATTATTTTAATCAAAACAGTGAAATTTTGGAGATATGACCGACTCAGAATAGATACTTTCTATTCATGCCGAAATCAGAATCATTGGTTCCATGACTTCGCATGGTTACCAATATCATACACAAGCCTGGAGCTATATGCATCAAGTTCTCGCAAGGATAACACTCAGGCAACGTTTGATTATGATACCAAAAAAGGGGTGGGGGAGGGGAGTGTTTTTTTAAAAAAGAAATGAGAGATGTATCTGGGGAGAAAAAAAGTCATAGTACATTTTCTATTTTATTTCAAGAAAACACTTTTTCAGTTATAAATTTACTATCAGATATCAGATTCCAATTGGATTATCGTTCAAGCTGGTCTGAAAATCATATAGGCTGGATGAACCACAATAATCTAAAGGCCACTAAAATGACGAAACATTTCTAAAGACAGTACAGAAATGAAATGATTATCCTCTATCAGTGGGGGCATCACTGAACAACTTAACAATAGCGAATGAACATCAAGAATTATAGCAAATGTTCATCAGGTTGAGGTACAAAATCATATTGCCACATCTAGAATGGAATCTCTCTTCCAAACTTTTTTCCAGTAATAAAGAATGCTTCTTCAGATTCACAATCAGGCTATTCAACAAGGTGTTCCATGAAAAACAGAGATCAAGCTAGGCACTTACTTTTAGTTCAGATTATGCAGCATTAGCATACACAGGATGAAGAACATGACCTTCCTTCGGCTCAACATGCACCAACTTGCGACCAGTCAGTTTGTTTCGTTCAAACGTCACCCACCCTTCTTTCAAAGCAAAGAGGGTATGATCTTTCCCTATCCCAACATAGTTTCCTGGATGAAATCGTGTTCCACGCTGCCGAACAATGATGTTTCCAGGTATCACTCTCTGCAGAATAAGCAAAGAATAATGCCATGAGTGAATGAATCATATTCCAAAACTCTATTCTCATTATCTGACTTTTTGTCATTATGTTGAAACACTTTGCTTTGAAGCGACCATCTCACAGACCTCCCCACCAAATTTCTTTGCTCCGAGATTCTTGGGCTTGGAGTCCTGTCCATTCTTTGTCGATCCTGCCGTTTTTTTGGTAGCCCAACGTCTAAACACTCGGCTCAATCCTTCTCCAGAAACATCTAAACCAAATTAATGAAAACACTGTCAAAGTCAAACTTGCATACTTTCATGATGCATTTGGATTAATAAGGATTTGGATTTGCTCCAAATCTCTCATTTGGATAAACAAAAATTCATGAATTTAAATTTGATTCAAATCCAAATCAATTGCTTAGTACAATTTCTTTGTAATTTCAAATACCCTCTATACCTTAATTATTTAAACTTTTAATTACTTCAAACATCTTGTTCTTTTTGTATTTTTGCTATTAATACCTCTATGACTTCCTGTATATTTTCTCATCCCTTGTTCTTGTCTCTCGTTAATTAGAAAATAGAGATAAAATCATTATTCCCAATTTTCCATTTTCGTTTTGAATCTTAACTCATTCATCTTCTTCATTTGAAATTTTTTGAACTACCCAAACACAAGATTTTAAATCCATGGTTTTTAAATTGAGTTTTGAAATTCATTTTGAATCTTAACTCATTCGTCTTCTTCATTTGAAATTTTTTGAACTACCCAAGCACAAGATTTTAAATCCATACATTTTAAATTGAGATTTGAAATGCAAGATTTTAAATTGAGATTTGAAATGCAAGATTTCAAATCTAAAATTCAAATCCAAATCTATCAATCCAAAAGCTACCTTAAAGAATATGATACAATAGAAAGAATGCAATCATTAAGATATACCACTAGCAATTTTGCATACAGGAGCTTTTGTAACAAGTTCCTTAACATTCAATCTTCTTAATAGTGATGCCGCAAAATTCATGTCGTTCTCCCAGAACAAAGGAACAATGACAAGCTGAGATGCAGATAACAGCATAAAAAAGGAACATGTTACTGAGAAATCAAATTTATTTAACTGATTCACTTATGGTAACCACTGAACAAGATTAATGAGGAAAGACTCAAATAAAAAAGAATTAATGATACTGGCATCTTGACATCTGATGATCATTAGAAGGTATCGGTAGTTTTTTAGCTAGGAGACAACAAACAAGCATTGCATTAAAAAAATAATAATATTAATAAACTAAAGTAAATGAAATGAGACTGATTTATTTCTAAGATTGATGCTGCCTGAAATCAAAGATCAAACCATAGCAAGTGGCACAGGAACATGTCCCACACTATGTACATGAAGCATAAGTAACAGAATTTTTCTTGAAAAGAAGTGTTTATATTGTCAATAGCAAACAAATATAATTTTTCGCCTCAATGCATTTACTACTTTTTTAAACTTAATACCATATGATTTTGTTTTTTTTTTTTTTACTGCACATTACATGCTTCAAACAAGCAAACAACAACAACAACAACAACAACAAGCCTTTATCCCACTAGGTGGTGCTTCAAACAAGCAATTAACACAAATATGCATAATTGCTGGAAAGGATATACGTAAGAATATTCTATATACCATGCTTATATTTGATAGGGTGACAACATCACATCATGCATGTTACTACACCAAACAGAATAGATGAAAAAGATTGAAGAAAAAGTGGGATGGAGAAACAACAAGAAAAAATAATAGTAAGAGAAAGACAAGAACTGACATGTAGGGAGGATGGTAAATTGTTCTGCTCTTCCAAAGCCTGAAGAAAAGAATGAGTTCTGTTAGATTTGCAAAAGGCTAGAATCAGGGGGTAGTGGATACTGTTTTGTTCACCCATAATATAATCTGAAGAGAGTCTACCAGAGGTTAAAAATAACAGTAAGGATAAGAATCAGAAGAATACCCATTAAAATTGTTCAATCATGTACGGAATTTGTGAAACTCTTAAATACAATTTTTCTTAAAACATCTTTATAGATGAGAGCCTTTAGCCCTTTACAACAGAAAACAAGTCTTTAGACCTACTGTAAACATTTGAACAAGACTTGCGAAAAGGTATACTTGAACCGGAAGTTTACTGTGAGCTTATAGCCTTCTAAATGATTTACCACTACTAGTGATTCATTAGGGTCACAAATATAGCACATTAATGGCTTCAAGTGCAGTGCCAAGCTTTCTTAGTTTCTTAGCAGGAAATTGTATATGAAATAACACCCTTCTAAGGAAGTTTTGGATCCCCCTACGGTTAAGAAAATTTAGTCACTGTACAACTCAGAAACTTTCAACTCAGATTGGGGAGGGTGAAGATAATATCAAAATTAAAATTATATCACTCGTTCATCAGGCTAATATCGACAGTTTGTAAGACAGAACAAATTTAAACAAGCATGAAATAAAATCAGAATAATTTAGATGACATACTGGAGACTAGAGACAATGAAATGACGGCACAGAAAGGAAAAAGAAATTAAAGTAATGTATCCCGTTTCACTTACCCAGAAATTTCAGGAGCCACAAGAAATCCAAGGAAGTAAAGAAAGGATTCTCGAAGAGAGTACTTTCGAAAATATAAACGAAAAGGAAAATTGTAATATGGATACTAACATGTTCTTCTGACAGAACGAAAGAGATAAAGTTTCCGAAAGCGAAGCTGTTCAGTGATGTCAGACGCTCGCTGGTCGCGGCGGCAACTCTCCGTCCTCCGTTCAGATCCCTCGTCAAGTCGTCCGTTCTTGGCCAGGGCAGAAATAATCAAAGAACTTTAAAAAAGGAAAAAAAAATTATATATCAAGAACAATAAAAAAACAGAAAAATTCATTTAAATTATATAAATACCAGATTGATCCTACGAGATAACATAATTTTCCTTGAATTCTATGAGACTTTTCTATCATTAAAAATTAAAAAAATAATTAAATTACTCTCAAATAAAATAAAAATATCAAGTCTCAATTTAGAGTCATTCTTGTGTGCCCTTGCCTTTGTTTCTTCTTTTTGTTATCCTCCTCTTCTCTTCTTCTTGCTCTTCTTTTAGTCTATCTCTTTCTCCTTCTCCTTCCCCTTCTCATTTGTTTTATTTCTTTTTGAGTTTCTCTATTAGCTATGCTGTATGTGGGTGAGTTTTTTCTTGTCCTTAAAAATTTATCCTCTCATATGTGATAGTTAAAGTTGACGTGGGTTAATGTGCATAAATAATAAAGGTTTTTATTTCCTTTTTATGATTTGAGGTCTTCATTTTCTTTGCCATGCGTGGGTATGAATGCTTATTCATGGATAAATAATAAATGATAAATAATATATCATTTTCAATTGTGCTGTAAATACATAAACTAAAGTTATGAATGACTAATATAAAGTTGTAAATATAAGAAAAACAGTTATTATTAGATAAAATATAACATATATATGATTATGATATTTAAAAAATAGACATGTTGATAAATGGCTATTTTATTGTTTTAGGTTGGCATAAGAAATGGTTGACATATTGGGATGACACTAAAAGATTAAGCTCTTCATATATTTTTATCAAAAGGGTTCTAGGATATTTTGATGTAAGTTGTAGATACTGTGACTGACAACAAAATTTTAGATAGTTGTCACTTTTAAGGTTTTTTGTCATTTAAATTAATGAAAATTATTAATTTTTGAACTAGAGTAATAATTCATTTTTGCTGATTTAGTTAATTTATAAAGGGTACTGATAAATTATAATTTCTTGTTGCATTGTTGAAAATCCAAGGACAAAAGTTGTTAATATAAGAATAAAGATTGTGAATGAAAGTTATTAATTTTCAACACCCGATGCATATCAAAATTTATACATGCAGAGTTGCAAATGACTATTGAATTGTTACAAATTTAGAAATAAAAATTATTAATATAGAAACAAAATTCTAAATAGAAAGTTATGAATGATTTTAATTTGAATAAAGGGCAAAAGTGTCATCTCTTATAATTCCCTAATGACAAAAATATCTCTTAGGACTCTAGAGAAATTATACCATTTTGTAAGATTAATATGTCTTTTAGATAATTTAAAGGAATTTTATTATCATTTTTCCAACAATAAAGGAAAAATAACAATAAAATTCTTTCAAGTTATATAAATGATAATATAATCTTTTAAAATATCATAATTCTATTGAAGTCTTTATATACTTTCGAGTCAATAAATTTTAATTTGAAAAAATTATTTTATTTTTACTGACAAGTTATGATTTCTTATTTAATTTTTACGATTCTTTGAATAAAAGTTGTTACTTTATAAATAAAAATTGTGATTAGAATTTGTTATTTTAAAAACTTATTTTTAATAATAGAAATTACATTTAACAAGTTATAACTTCTTATTCAATTCTTGTAATTTACAAAATAAAAATTTATTCCTTCAGCAACAGTTATTATTGAAACTTGTTTTTTTAACAATAGAAATTACATTTGACAAGTTATAATTTTTTGTTCAACTTTTATGATTCACAAAATAAAAGTCATTATGTAACACACCAAATTTTTTTTAAATAATTTAACTCAACCATAGTTGGGTTACAGCCACCCAACACATTTTTATATCAATAATTTTAATATAAAATATTTTATAATTGGCTTCAACTCACACAATATAACATTTCAGATAAATTTTTATCTCCCACATGCCATTAAGCTAAATCACATTTGTTCATCCTTATACTCCCAACAAGTAAACTAAATCACATTTGTCCATTCTTACACTCCCAACAAGAAAAATAAACAATTTAGTCAATTTTCAACACAAACCAGTTATTTGGCCTCATAATCATGCCATTTTAATCAATCCAAAATAAACCAAATATTAAAATTATAGTCATCCAAAGTATACCAAAAATAAAATAGTTTGAAAGGCATAATTACATTTATATATTCATATAATTGTCAATAAACAAAAAGCCCTAATATTGGCAATATAACACATTATAAATCATAAATCAAATACTCAAAAAAAACAATGAATCTATGCCACTAAGCCTCTGGGACTCCTCCACGTGTCACTCATGTCTCTTCTCCTAAAAATTGTTAACCACATAATGAGACTCAAAAGTCCCAATAACCAATACCAATTTATGATAGTGTGTACAAACAGTTAAGTGTGTGCTTACTAAGTGGGAACCAAAAATAATATAATTCCAACAAAATATAAGAAATATTATAATACACACAAACAACCATCCTTATATCCCTCCATTAACCTTGAGCTGTAGCCCTCACTCGATGCTAAATTACCCGACCAAAGGTAGATTAGCCCGAGCCCTTACAAGCCACCTATTGAGCTCCAATAGGGGCGTACCACGTGGCACATAAATACAACAACAATAGCAAGTCTCCCAACACCTCCCACAATAATCAAACAAATTCATAATAATATTGCACAATTATACAATATTACAAAATTCATAATTTTCTCAATAATCACCCAATTAACATGAAGTAACACTAATCATAAATTAAAAGCATGGTTACCTCGTGGCCTTTTCAATAAATTATTCCTTACAATTTCTCTCCCACCACAATCTTCACCAATAATACAATCTACAAATAACATATTATTTATAAATATTAGTTTCAATTTTTTGAAACTAATAAAATAATTCTAATAATAGAATTAAAAATATAACATAATTCCTAATCTCAATCTTAATACAAATCTAGAGTTAATACTATTAAGTAAAATTTTTAACTCCTCTTTTAGCCATCAATAAACATTAATAATATAAAAATCAGCTTCTAAACTAATTTCTATTATTAAAATTTTTTTTTATTTTATAAATTCGCACCTAAAATACCTAAAAATTAAAAATTGAGTCTCTAGCTTAGAATCATAATCCTATAGCCATAATAATTCATTTCTCATCCCAAATAATTATCTAAACCTCAATAAATCAACATATATTCTCAGAACTAGTTTAGAATTTGATTCATAAGCCACAAATTCAAAGATCATCAACAAATTTATATTCTAGAACATTTATTATACTACTAACAACCTCAAAAATCATATTTATTTAACATAAATTCATCCCTCTTTCAAATCCTAAATTTTCTACCACTACAAACTCAGAAACCAAAGAGGAAGGATGACTAAGAAAAATTTTTAAAACACTTACTTAGTCTTGAAAAACTTGAATCACACCCTAAATATCTTATTAAAAACTCTTACCTTAAAAACTCAGATCTCCCGCACTGGCAAAACTAGACGTTTTCTCTGTCTCAGCTCGCGCACAGGGAAGAATGAAGAAACGAAGGAAACAGATGAGTTTTATAAAAATTCAGTGGGTCCTATATTTTTTTATTATTTTTTCTTTCCTCTCTCTCTCCTTTTTTTGTATTATTATTATATATACGTAATGATTGCAGCACGCGGGACACCGAAAGTGCTTCTCTTCTTTTTCTCATACCTTTTTTTCTTTTCTCTTTTTTTTAATAATAACAATAATAATTTAATAATATTTTTTAATTAATTAATTAATAATTTTTTTAAAAAATTTAATTTAGAATTATATCCTAGGTTAGATTAATAATCATTTTCTACTAATTTACTTACCTCTAAATATTTTTTAAAATTTTTATTAATTCAAATTAACTATTAAACTTTAAATTGGGATGTTACAATTATTCCTTAAAACAATTATGATTTCAATAAGAGTAAAATTATTTTTTCATTTTAAAATTTAGGAAAAATTCCGTGAAGACTCATGGAGCAAGCTTATTTATCAATAAGTCTTGTAAAATTTAAAAATCATAACTAAGTCCCTTAAAACTTGAATGTAAATTGAAATTAGGCTGTAAAAATAACAATACCTTTATTAAACATATATTACATTAATCAAATAATTAATTTATAATTACTTCATCACTAATTTATAACTATAATTTCAATTTTTTTACAACTATGATTTTACATATTCAATAATTAAATAATCATGTATTATTATCAGAGTTTAATATTAATTATTTACAACTATTTTATCATAATTTACAACTATAAACTTCAACTTTTTACAACTATAACTTTATATATCCAATAATTAAATTTAAATAGTTTAATTATTGGATATATAAAGTTATAGTTGTAAAAAGTTGAAGTTATAATTATAAACTTTTAATAAATAGTTATAAATTATTTGACTAATATACTATATATGTGTTTAATAGGGACATTATTATTTTTTTATTCCAATTTTAAATTACATTCAGATCCTAAGGTATCTAGTTGTAATTTCTGAATTTCGTGAGACTTAGTTATAAATAAGTTACTCTATAGGACTTATATGTAATTTTCTCTAAAATTTATTGATATAAAAATTCATACAGATTTCAATAGAATTACAGTATTTTAAGATATCATATTATCATTCATTAAAGTCATGGAGATTTTATTGTTATTTTCCCAACAATGAACCTTATTCTATTAATTAGAGTTAGCTATACAAATTGCATGACAAAAAATAATTTTATACAACAGCCGAGAAAAATGGAATAAACATCACCATTGAAAAAATAAAAATGCATTCTTTTAGAATTATTATTTTCATATGAAATTGAATTGAAAGTGGAAACTGGAAACCATAAAAAGCATGAACATTTTAGATCCCTTTTTTGTATATAAAAATTATTTAAAAGTGTGTTTATATGTATATTATTGTTACAAAAGAGTTCAAAGGTGGTAAAAAAAAAAACCAAGAAACCAGAACATTTTTTAATATTTTTTTACCATTTATTTTGCAAAAACTAGAAAAAAATTAGACAATTTTCATCATTAATAATCATATTAATAAAATAAATAAATTTTCACCCTTTTTTTCACCACCTTATATATATATATATATATTAAATAATTATTTAAATATTTTTTATTTTTTTTCCAAAACTTGTTTTAAAAATTATTTTGCAGCATTGTTCTAAGAATAGAAAAAATAGAAAATAGAATCACAGCCTAAAAAAAAAAAAAATCATACCAGCTCATTGGCGTCTTTGAGGTCTGAGTACGTAGGATAAAGAGGAGGCTAAAATCTAGTTGCATTGTATTCCTTCTTATCTCTACTGTAGGACATCTAAAAAAGATTTTTTAGTTCTTGATATAAGATTTTTTATAAAGTATTAATTATATTATTTAATTATGATAGAAATTGTAATACAAATTAAAAAATTTTCAATTAAAAAGAGTTAAAATTAGAAATTTATTCTTATTTTTAAACAATATTAATAACTTAATTAACCACATTTTCTTAATTCTTCCCATGGACATTCATTAAATCTTGGATTTAGAAGAGAATAATTGGCAGTGTCTTTTATCATCAATGGCACATTTGTTTTAGCTTATTTTAAAAAAAAATACTTATTTTTTTAAATTATTTTATAAGTTTTTATAGTATTTGTCTAAACTTTTGAAAATAATCAAAATTTTAATAAAAGTAGATCTCTAATTATTTTAAGAAATTATTTTAAATAGCTTTTAAAAATAATTTAATGTAATAGATGAGAGCGAGTATTTTAAATATGTGGAATATATGAATATATCATAAAATTTAAAAAACTAATAATCATTTTATCATTAATCTCTATAAAATAAATATCTTTTTATAAATATTTAAACTATCTATAAATAATTTTTAATTTTAAATAAATAGGTCCTAGATCTTAGCTACACTTATAAATTAACAATGGACATTCAATCCCTGTTAATAAATGGGCGGCATGGGGGAAGAAGCACTACATTTAGGAATTAACAACACAAAAACTTTGTTTAAAAAAACCCCCTTTCCTTATTGGGATCGAAACTAAGAAGAATGGTTGGGATGACAAACATTCATCTAGTTCGTATTTTGGATACCCGTATAACCATCGAAGAATGAATACCATGTTGTAAACCTCTTTTGGGATGGTTTAGTAACAGCCAACTCCCAATCTTTTTATTTTTTGTAATAAAAAATATCAAATATATTAAAAAAAGGAAAAATGATTTACAATAATATACGTTTAGAGCCATGCTTAAATGAAAGAAATTAAGTGTGTGTTTAATTTTTAGTCTACATTTAACAAAAGATGTATGAAGATTTAACTATTTGTTGAATTTGACAAATATATACTTGATGTGGTTTGAATGCGCTTTTGAAAGTTATCCAATCCAATAAGAACTTTAAAACTTATAGTAATAAAAGAAACAAAAATAAAACAAGAAATAAGAAAATCTACATCATAATTAACAACATATGAGATCAAAGATTAGAGATATTGAGGTTGCAAAGTATAAAAAATATAAAATATTTTTGAGAAGTTGAATATTAAAAAATATAAGGCATTTTTAATTTTTTGAGATATAATCATTGCTTTTTTTAAATGTTCATATTGATAATAACTTTATATTTATTATAAGATATTTAATAAGAATAAATATGAACAGATAAAATTAGTTTGAAAGTAGTTAACTATTTTATTGAGAGTAAGATTCAATTAAAAATGCTTTATATTTTTTAAGGGAGGGAGTAGCTTTTACGTGTTTGAACATTGAGCCCATTTGTTTCATTTATTTTATGAAAAAAATACTTACTTTTTAAAAAAATTATTTTATGAGTTTTTATAATATTTGTTTAAACTTTTAAAAATAATCAAAATAAAAAAACATAATTCTAAATAACTTTTGAAAATAATTTAATACGGTAACTGAGAAAGAGTGTTTTAAAGTGGCAGGATACATGAGAATATCATAAAATTTTAAAATAATATAATAATAAATTATTTTTATAAAACAAAGATTAAGGAAGATGTCATAAAATTAAAAATAACTAACTAATAATTATTTTTTATTATTGTAACAAAAAATAAAATAATATCTGCTTTTTATAACATTTTACAAAATAAATCTCTTTTTATAAAATTTTAGATTACCTAAAAATTAAATCACTTATTTTTTAATCTTAAATAAATATGTACGTTGCCTATGCATAATGAAAAGGATAACCAAATAAATAGAATGCTTTCATAGAAAATTTAATTGCTATTATAAATTTAGACTCCAACTCAAGTTATTAAGAATTACTTACTCTGTTAAAAAATATAAAACATTTTTAATTAAATTTCACCCTCAATAAAATAGTTGCTTACTTTTAAACTAATCTTATCTTTTCATATTTACCTCTATTAAATATCTTATAATAAATATAAAGTCATTATCAATGAAGACACTTCTGGAAAAATAATAATTACACCTTAAAAGATAAAAAATATTTTAAAAATATAAAATATTTTTTATAAGAGGGAGTAACTTTTAGCTAATTGATCTAAAGACCTGGTAGCTTAATCAATTCATGTTTCAAAAATTAAAAAACTAACGTTTTATTTTTTTACAAAAAATATATAAAGAATTAAGTTGATAAAAATTCAATTATTATTATTTTTTAAAATCCCAAATATTCATGACCAAGCACCCACTTGTCCGGCAGAAAGCACGCTCTTCTTCTCAGATTGCTCGGTTCATTCTGATGCAAAAAGAAAAACAGTCTTGTCGCTGTCGACTAGGTCTGATTGTATTGATAGTAATGTCGGTCATCAATCGATTAGGGAAGGAGAAGGGCCATAACCCTGCATTAATCTGGGAATCTCAGCATCGTCGTCGTCGTGTTGCCGGCGACGATCAAGTCGACGGCGCCATCAACCTCGACAATGGATGGATAAAGGGAACTCCTCTTTCCACCCTCCGTAACTTCCATTTCTAACCATCACAATACTATGCCTTGCAATTTTTTCTATTACTTCTTAACCAACTTTTCAATTCCCAATCATGATTTGTAGATCTGCTTGGGCGGGAGAATCTATGGAAGGAGTTCAACAAGATCAATTAGGAAGTCTCTAAGCTTAAGCGTGTAAGCATTTTAGTTTCTATTTTCACTTCTGTTTTCTGAAGTTCTGCTACGGGACTCTTAGAATTTAGTAGCTAGGTTTTGCAGTCAGGAAACGACGAACAATTAACAGTTCCCATTTCGAAGTTCACATTGATTTGAGGTCAATTAAAAAAAAAAAAAAGAGTAATCCACGTCAATGGGAGAACGTGATAAGTTGATAGTGTGTGTGTGTTTATATTTCTGCCTAATGATAGTAAATATATGTGTAATTCCATTTTATTTTTGTCTTGATTGAAGATATTTTCATGTTGTTCCCAAATTAAAGAATTATAGCGCGAATAGATAAAGATAGAGAGAGCCAGAGAGAGGTGGCCCAAGGCATATATATATATATATATTGGGTGAGCTGGACTTCTCAATATTACAAATCAAGTTGAGTTATTTTCCTAATATTCTGGACATGTTTAGGTAATGAGAACAGAAAAATTTATTAGGCTTATGTATAATTCTATTAACAGAATCTGTATGCGCGTGTATTTTATTTACTGGGTCAATATAATCTAATTTAAATAACACTGATTTCTAATATTTTTATTTTAGCCCATTAAATATAATATTTCTATGAACATTGCAACCCACATTAATTATAAAAATATACACATACAAGAAATCACGTTTCGTTGGACAGAATTTAGGTGATTAATCAAGTCAAGTTCTTTTTCAATATTTGTGAGTCATTTTTCATTATTAATTTCTTTTTCATGTAACATGTAAACGTGCACTTTATGCTTTCATTAGAATTTCGTAAATATTTGAATTTGAAGTCTTTAATTATTGTATGATATCATTTGCTGTGATCAATAGCGGAGCTAAGATCTTGAATCAGGAGTGTAGGACAATGTAATTTAAAAATTAATAATTAAAAAAATAATTTTTAAATTTTTTAAAATTAATTATATTAGGCAAAAAATATACTAACATAAGGAAAATTATATATATTTTTATTTGGGCAAAATATATTGAGATTTTTTTGCCAGAAACATGTTGAGAAGGTTGATATCAAATTTAAGTTTGAACCCTAAAATATTTTTCATTTAAAATTTCTCATACTACGTATATAATTTTTCTCATGTGAGGGGGTGCATTCCCCCCTCCTCACATGTACATGTTCTGGCTCTGCCGCTGTGACGATAGTAATGAGCAAAATGTGATGTTATTGTATATTCATTTACATTTTAAAATATTACATTATGATGTGCTCGTGATCTCTGGTACATTGAAATGGAATAATTATAAAGTAAGCATGAAAAAGAACTAAGAATCCGGTGTTATTTATTTAATAAAAATATGTGAACATGAGGAAAAGGGCTAATATGATATAAGATGTACTTTTTTTTTTTGGGAGTAAAAGATAATGTGGTAACTAAATTTCCGATATCTAGTTACAAGTGCTTATGTATATAAATATATATATTAATATATACACATATACTCATTATTCTTTGACGTGGAGCTTGAAATCTCCCATATTCTTAAAACATATCAATATATATATATATATAAAAGAAAAGCTGCCCCATTGTTCACAAGCTGTCATGCCTCGTTTTCATTCTAGTTTTAATTTTAATTATCTTAAGGAAAAAAATTAAAATAAATATGACAAGAAAAAGCTAGTGACATTTTGTCTTGTCTCAGAAGAAAAAGGGATAGGTGGAATGCATATTCCAAGCGGTCCCATGAGAGCAATCACGTGGAAGACTTAGACATTGAGTCAATAATTGTTCTGTGTCTACCAATTCCTCTTCCATTATCCAAGTTTCTTTCTCTTATTATCTTGAGTGGGAATTCCTTCCATTTTTCTCTTCATTCACTCTGTTCTTCCTCAATTCGAAAGATAAAGGGTGAAAAAACAAAGCTTCTGATACCTTCTAAATCTTCTTTCAGAGGTAAAATTGCATTCTGATTGTATTTGTTTCCATTTTGTGTTCATATTACAACTTCTTATATGACTTTTTCTGTATATTTAGTTTACACTTCTAGTTTTTATATACGAGAAAAGCTTCATGTTCTAAAGTATATCTGGTATTTTTGAACTTCTCAAATCAACATGACTTGTGTATTTTTGCGTCTGTGTAGTTTCCATACCCAAAAAACAGAGCAAACTATGTAGTTGAAGGCATCTTCTTACGGTGTTTGAGTATATGGAGAAAAGGGTCAGTAATTTTAATAGTTTCTTATTTCATTGTGTTCATACTGTTATTAGCATCTTGTTTATTTATGTATTTTTGTCATTATAAAAATATTGAGTTTTACAAAGGTAATACAAATAAAAACTTCCTTAATTAAACTAAAGGAGAGTGCTACGTCCCCCTAAATATAACCTAGTATCAATTGAACTATTAAAACACTTTTGGTGAAAACTACACTAATTCATTCTAATCTTAGCCTTCAATCACAATGTTACCCTAATCTATATAATGCTACACTTGACGTCTGAATGTTAAATATAATTTTGTCAATGTGAAATTACTAAAATATGCTCCCCATTGTTCCACTTTTCCCACATCTTCATCCTCTCCATCTCTTCCCCTGCCTGCAAATTCTCAATTGCCAGACCACCCATGCTTGGAAATGAAAAAAAAAAAAAAAGTGCAAAATTCTTAGAGGAGGAGTTCTTGACTATTTTTCTCTTGCATTTTACTTGAGGAAGAGAGCTATAAATATATGAGACTATGACCACAATTTGCAACTAGAATTCCATGAGTAAGGAGTAAGAAAAAGGCAAGAAAATAATATAAAAATAATCTTGAAATCATGCATGGCCTTGTAATCTTTAAAAATTGTTAGTCCACTGTATCCCATAAAATCTAGAAAATAAGAATAGAAGTAGCCATTTCATATAAAGAAGGAAATGAAGTTTGTTTTGAAAGTTGACTTGAGGAAAATAGACCTGTTGGCTCTTTAATGCACCAGAATCACAGCTTAAAATATCATAATTTTAATGAGGATTATGTTGTTAGACAATTATTCTCCAACAGTTCCTGTCCAGTTGGGGAGTAAATACCCAACATATTTTGCTTGTTGATAAATCTTTCAAACTTCAGTGGAGCTAATGCCTTGGGGACGACATTGATAGCTTGGGAATGAGTTGCAATATGACTTAACTCCAGCATACTAGCTTCTAACCTTTCCATGTAATGTCCTTGAATTTCAACGTGTTTAGTTTGATCATGGATTCATGGCTATAGGATTCTTTAGCCAACCTCACATCTACGTTTCCTCATAAGTATTCTTGATTCATCAAATAATTTCTTTAATCACCCACATGCCATGATCAACAGCTCAAAATTCATATCACCACGTTTATGGGCCCTGGTATGGAGTCTACTACCTTGAGTAGGATGAACAACATAGTAAACCCAAATATATTGAAGAACAAAGAAGAGAAGAAACGAGTGACAGGATATAGGAATAGAAATGTTTGAACGGCTGTCCGGTTGTTCAAGATTTTGGATGGAGCCCTATTGGGGGGTGTTTGATAAGGAACAAGTAACCTCCCAAAATTATGATTCTTTCTTTCAGTTATTCTGTTTTGTTGTGAGTTATTGACACACATGATGAAAATGCAATGATTGCCAAAGAAAATTCTTGAGGTTGAGGTTGGCATATTATTTGTCCTTGTCAATTGTAAACACTTTGATTTGAGTTTGAAATTGATTATGAATTATGATACTAAAATTTTTCAGTGATTTGGGGCTTCACTTGTTTCATTCATAAGATAGAGCTAGGTGTGCCTAATACAGTCCTTAATTAGAGTGATGAAACACTTGGTTCCTAACATGGTGGGAATCTGAGGAGTTCAAACATCATTATGAATTAAGGTTTGTGGCTGGGAAGGTTTGCATGGGCAAGAGGGCTTGTGACTCTTTATAAGTTTAGAGACTTCACAAACTTAACATTGAAATGAACTATTATTCTTCTTATATAAATTATGGAAAAATGTCTTTCTGTTTAAAATTTGGATGACCCATCTATGAGTGCCGGAACATTCTTTTGCTGTGGAACTATGTAAAGGCCCCCTACGCTCCTTAGAATGCCCAATCACCCTCCTTAACTCCCTGTTTGGTTGGAGGGGAGGAGCTCCCCTCCCCTCCCCTTGTCCTATCTAAGCAAGGGGAGGGGGCCCCTCTCCCCTTGTTTGGCAAAGGGATGAGAGGAAAAATTTTAGGGGAAGTGGTTCCTCCCCTCCCCCTCCCTCTCTCCCCTGTCACCTCCCTTCCCGTCTATTAAAATCCCTCTCCTCCCCTCCCTTCCAACCAAGCATAGCATAAAGCAAGGATCTAAGAGTAACAGCAATTAGCTTCAAAGTTAGTCATGCAATTACGTTCTTTGGTTTTGCTTCAAGAGTTACTGGCTATCTTAGGCACCTACAAAACATTGGATGAAATTACTCCCTCCGGTCCACAATGTAGGATACTTGCAGCATGCATCACACATATTAAGGAAATTCAGTTTTTTTTTTAAATCTCATCAGAAATTAACTTGTGTTAATATGGAAAGGTATTTCTTAAAACTATAAAATGTCCTACATTTTAGACCAACAATAGCTCATGGAAGTATGTTACATACCAGAGGGAGTAAATCTTTAGATTGATAGATATTAGGTTAATTTTGCTCTTGCTTTGATTTGCCCGCTTATCTATCTTAATGTGTACCACTTCTTAAAATCATTGATCATTGTAGCTATGATTTTCAAGTTTTGATCATATTGTGGATCCACTAACTTCATAGTTAGTATGCTGGAGAGTTGGATAGACTGACTATAACCTCATTTGCATGTTAGATGTTGACCTTCCCTATTAATGCTCCAAGCAACATTCTCCAATGTTTGGTGGATCTAGTGAAAAACGAAGCTCAATACTTATGTTGTTTGGAGAATCATGTTGAAAATTTTGAGAGAAAAAAGAAAATACTTGCTGCAAAACAACAGGATGTGAAGATAAATATTGAAAATGCTAGTGGTGTTTCAAGAGTTAAGAATGAAGCTCAGCAATGGATACATGAAGCTGATAGTCTTATTGAAGTTGACACAGAAACAAAGAAGAAATGGTTTTTTGGCTTGTGTCCTAATTGCTACCGGCAATACCATAGTGGAAAGGAGTTGGCAAAGAAGACTTTGGAGATTGATGAGCTATTGGGAAGATGTAGTTTCAACATAGTGGGAGGTCCAGTTGATCTTCCAAGCTTAAAATACCATTCATTACCAAGCTTTATTGACTTCGAGAGCAGAAAGTTGAAATTTCAAGATTTGTTGGAGGCATTAGAAGATGAAAATTGCAATTTGATTGGATTGCAAGGCATGGGGGGCACAGGTAAAACCTCAATGGCAATAGAAGTAGGTGTTAAACTTGAAGAATCCAAATATCATAGCGTCATCCTTCTTGATGTGTCTAATCCTCCAGATTTCAAAAAGATTCGTGGTGAAATTGCAAGGCATTTGAATTTAACATTAGAGGAAGGAAAGGAAAAAGAACATTCAAAGACAATATGGTCTAGAATTACTAATAAGAAAGAAAAGCTTCTTATAATACTAGATGATGTATGGGAAGAGTTTGATCTTATAAAAGACATAGGCATTCCATCTAGCCACCAGCACAAGGGTTGTAGTGTATTGATAATTAGTCGTAATTTGAATGTTTGTGAAGTAATGGGTTGTCAAAGGATGATTCAACTAGATATGCTAGTTGATAAGGAAGCATTTAATCTTTTTCTAATACATGCCAATACTTCCTCAAGTCGTTTGAAGGGCATAGCACAAAACATTGTGAAGCAGTGTGGAGGTTTACCAATTGCAATTGTAGCAGTAGCAAGAGCTTTAAGAAATCGACCTTTAGCAATTTGGAGGGAAGCTTTGAAAACCTTGCAAAATTCCAAGTCAATGATTGATGTTAATCAAAATTTGACGAAGATTTATAAATGTTTGAAGTTAAGCTATGATAATCTAAAGAATGAGAAGGCAAAAAAACTCTTTTTGATATGTTCTATTTTCCCAAAAGATTTTGAAATTTCTGTAGAACTTTTGAGTAGAATTGGTATTGGAGTAGGGCTTTTTGGGGAAGTGGAGAAATACTGTACAACAAGAAGCAAAGTGCTTGCGGCTATACAAGAACTTGTGGATTCTTGTTTATTATTGAATCTTCAAGATGGGTTGGTAAAGATGCATGATTTAGTTCGTGAAGTGGCCTTATGGATAGCTGACAAAGACATTCAAGTGATCATGGATTTTAAGACAACTATAGAAGCCAATCTGCGATATTTGTTTTGGAACTCTGAAGACTTTCCCAATCAATTTGATGGCACGAATTTGGAGATTTTTATAATAAATGTAAATGGTTCAGAGGATTTGAAGGTCCCATATTCATTCTTCATAGAGATGACAAAGCTCAGAGTATTGCATTTAAAATGCACTTATGTTCACTCACAAATTTTAGATTCATCATTGTTATACTCACTTCAATCATTAATGAATATCCAAACTCTTTCTTTGATGAATTTGAAATTAGGTGACATTTCTATTTTGGGAAACTTACCTAGTCTTGTGACTCTTGAGTTGAATCATTGTTCAATCATTGAATTATCAGAAGAAATTTTGGGATTAAAGAGGTTGAGATTATTGGAGATAAGAGCATGTAAAGTTAAAATGAACAATCCTTTTGAAGTAATTGAAAGGTGCTCGCAACTAGAAGAGTTGTATTTTGTTGATAATGGGAATTTCATAAATGAAAATATAGATTTTCAAAATTTATCTCCTCTTACATTGCAAAGATATCAAATATCTTCTATTGAACTTCTAGAAGAATTTGAAAAGTATGGTTTAATATCAAGATACTTCTTTCCACATGATTTAAGACCTGTAATCTCAGAGGAAACTTTTAAGCAACTTGTAGGAGCTGCTGAGCTTCTTATATTAGGAGGGTATGATGAAACAAGATGGAAAAATCTTGTCCCTGATATTGTTCATATGGAATGTGGAGGCATGAACGATTTAATTATCCTTCATATGTATTCCTGGCCTGACATACAATGCTTAATTGATACTAGAAATCATTATTTTGATGTGATTGCCTTCTCCAAGTTGATTGAGCTACATCTCTTTGAAATGGATATTGAAGATTTATATCGTGGTTCTCTTCCATCTGGCTTTCTTGAGCAACTAGAGACTATGGAGTTAAAAAGCTGTCTAAAGTTGCAGAACATGTTATTTAATGGCAAGTTAAACCTTTGTCACCTTAAGGCCATGGAATTGAAAGGTTGTGTAGCATTGACATCGATTTTCCAACTATCCACTGCTCGAAGCTTAGTGCTATTGGAAGAATTAACAATTAATGATTGTCATGCACTAGAACACATAGTTTTCGATGACAGCTCAAAAGATGAAATAGTGGGTGATGACAATGGTTATGATCAAAAGAGTCATGACTCATTGTTCCCAAAATTGAAAACTCTTAGAATTGCAAGATGTGACAATTTAGAAATGATATTACCTGTTCTTTTTGCTAGAGGTCTTCCTCCTTTGGAAGTTATAAGCATATGTGAATGTGAGAAATTGAAATACATGTTTAGTCAGTATAGAGAGGAGGACCATGTTTTGCATCAAAATGAACAGGCGGTAATGCTCCCTTTAATGAAAGAAATGAAGCTCTCTAGAGTTCCAAGTTTTATTGACATTTATCGAGAACATTGCAAACTCATGTCTTCATCAATGCAAGGGTCATCATCTTCAGTTCCAACAGATATTGCCAATGAGACACTTCTGAATCCTAATGCACATGCTTGCTCTTGGGCTCCTATATGCTGTTTTCCACATGAATCTAAGGCCACAAGCGAAGAGACTAAGGCCAGTGCTACTATTTCTAAGGAGGAGAAATTGGCTGACCTGACAACCCCCCTGGTATGTTACACTAGGCTCTTTCTTTTTGTTTAACATTTTCTATTATGAATAGCTAGCAAAAATCTACTTATTTAAAATACTAGATTGAGGGTACCATACTTAGCATATATTCTAAGATGAGACGTATGTTTATGGTTTTTGAATGGTGCTTCTTATAAATTTTATTATATACATTGATATATTGATGATTGATGATATATGATAGTTAATATTGTGTAGATTGACCATAAAAACTTGAAGAGCTTACTATGAGTGATAAAAAGCTTTTACAGAAAATGTGATGGATTTGAATGTAGTTGTAACACCTCTATATGTCGTTGACTTGATAATGTTTAAAGAGTGTTCTGTTGCACTGCTTAATTATATGTCTAGAATCTTAAAGTTTATGTATCTAGATAAATGTGTGTTGTTTGAAATATAAATGCATTTCATTTATTCAAAAGACTACAAAAAGCCAATGTATATAGAAAAAGAGATCAATAAATCCCTAAATAAAAGCCACTCAATCAGCTATCTAAGAAAACCTATTTACAACTAAATGATAACACATTACAATAAAAAGATATACTCTTGTCTTAATGTGGTTCAAGTATTTGAAAATGCATTATGCATGTTATGGTCATTAAAAGAAAAATCCTGAAATAATAATTGGGTACAGGATAAGGGAGGTGAATGCTATTTTTCTTAAATTTGATAGAAAAACAAAATCTTAAACTATTATCTCAAGCCTTGAAAGAGAATCATTGTTTGGGGTGAACATTGATCTAACAGTAATTATTTTTTGTAGGGATTATATAATACAGCTCAATGCATTACGAGACAATTGTTCCACTTTCGTAATATCAAGAAGATGAAACTTGTAAACTTTCCAAATTTATTATCATTGTTCTCCCTGTCCATTGCATCAATGATAATGTGGGAAGAATTGACAATTGAAAAGTGGGATGATTTAAAGCACATGATAACAAATGATGTAGATGATCGTAATGATCAGATCACCTATAAGTCCATTTTCCCAAAATTAGAGAAGTTGGAAATTTGGGATTGCAAGGATTTAGAATTTTTATTTCCATCCACATTATTTGGAGGACTAAAAAATTTAAAATTTTTGACTATCAAGAATGCTCCTGAGCTTAAATATATTTTTGGGAAATACCCTCTTGAGGATCATTTGTTAAATTTGAATCAAAACGATGAGCTTCAATTTGATCTCCCAGCTTTGGAGGTCCTTTGCCTTGGAGATGTACAAAAGATCATTAGCATTTGTGCCATGAATTATTACTTGACATGGCCGTCTCTACATATGGTTGTTCTAGAGAATTGCAACATTGAATCTTTCACTGATTTGATGGTTTGTTCAGATGAAGGACGATTGAAGTGGAAAGCTATGAAGGTAACACTTCTAATTTCTACCATTTTATCTATTTGATCTTGTTACATAGAATTTTGTAATTTTAGACAAGCAAAATTATTTTTGACTCCTAATTTCTTGAGATTTTGAAAGGATTTTCTTAATGAAATATTCTAGCTAATACATGATTTACAAGAGTTAAATGAAGGATATTTAAATGTTTGTAGGAATTAGATGCATCAAGAGGTGGGATTCCTCCTTTTCAAGCATCTCAAAATCCTTTGCTTCAACCACTGAACAATATTAGAACAATGAGACTTGTGAGTTGTTCACGCTTAGTATCATTGCTAGCTCTACCCATTGCATCAAAGATTTTATTGGAAGTTTTGATAATTGAAGAATGTCATGAACTGAAGTGCATAGTAGCAGATGAGGAAGACGCTCAAGCTCTCATGAACTTCAATTCTATATTCTCAAAGTTGAAAGAGTTACATGTTTCAAGATGCCGTACACTAGAATATTTATTTCCAGCATCTTTGTTTAGATCTCCCACACATTTGAAATATGTGACCATCGCTCATGCTCCTAAGTTGAAATATGTGTTTGGAACGAGCCATCATGAAGATTCATCTCATGAGAGTCAAAATATTGAGGCTTATATTGATTTCCCAGTTTTAGAAAGCTTAAACCTTGAAGTTATACCAAATCTTGTCAGCATTTTCCCTCAAAACTACTATTTGACAGGGCTGTCTCTAAAGTCTATTGTTTTGGATATGTCTCCTGAGTTTATTATTAAATCTTTTACTGATTTCATGAGTGGTCGGCATGCAAGTCAATGTGATTCCACAACCTCAAAGGTATGACTCTCTAATTTTTCCTTCTAGTCTCAGTATTTGTTTTTCCCCCCAATTAACAGGTTAAATTTGATCGATATTACTCAGTATCAAAATGTTATTTGCTAGAAGGTTGACCAATGCATTTATATGCAACAATGTATATTAATTTTAACTTGGACTAGTTATGGATTAAATTTTGTCACAAGGCAACCTGTGGAATTTATTTTCTCTCTCATGGAACTTACAGGTAATTGAGAATCGCATACAAACTATGACAGATCTTACAGTACATTACTCCAATGTAGAAGACATTTTTAATTTGGCACAGTCGAAGGTTGAGAGAAATAGGGAAGGACTTGAACCAGTGACATCAAGCTTAGAATACTTGACTTTGGGAAACCTTAGTGAGTTAAGGAATATATGTGAGGGCCCAAAATATATTTTAAGCCTCAACAATCTTAAGAAACTAAATATTACATCATGCAAAAAGCTTAAAACTGTCTTCTCTATCTCCATATTGAAAAGTCTGCCTGAGTTGTGGAAGCTAGAGATATCTGACTGTGAAGAACTAGTTCACATTGTTGGAGAGGATATTGAGGAAAATGCTAGTGATCGTTTGTCTCATGAGCCATGCTTTCCGAAATTACATGAACTGCATGTTAAGTCTTGTAACATGTTGAAATACCTGTTCTCTATCTCAATGTCTGGTATACTTCCCAACCTTATGTTTTTGAGCATAAAAGAAGCCTCCAAGCTTAAACATGTAATTATTTCACATGTTGAGATGAAAGAGATGGTGATGACAGATGTGCTTCCAGAGCTATATTATCTGATTTTTGAGGAACTTCCTAGTCTTGTTGATGTTTGCCATGGGATTGATTTTCAAGCTGTACGCATATCTTCTGAAGTATATAATTGTCCTAATTTTTCTTTTTATGGTACGCATTTAGAAAAGTCACTCTTTAAAATCAATAATTATTGTCACTCTTCAAAATTGAAAGTTATTGTGCAAGGTTAAATATAACTTTGAAAATTCTACTTGCAGAAAATAGTACTACACATCTTCAAGTTGGCCTTGAAAATCTAGATTCTAAAGTTCAGGTGGCAAAAGACGAGAATCTTTCTTCGCATCTCAATACCCATCAATTTGGTATGAGAAAAGCTGAAGGGAGCCAAGACTTGGAAACACAACAATCTTCAATTGGCTCACCAAACTTAACAAGGGTATATCTATATCAAATACTAACTTAATAGAAATAGACATTTTATGTCATCTTTTACTAATGAGTTCAGCTTAACCAGAATTTTTCCTTTTTTCTTTTTCCCTGTGGTATTTGTAAGGGTATAAATAAGAAATCAAAGGAAATTGTTGAAGAGAACATTATTTCAAAGATGCCAACAATAGAAAATTTATCATATGATTCAGAGTCTGTAGGACAACTCCTATGTGTTAACTAAGCTCTTTACAATATATTCTTTTATGTTTTAGTCTTGGTCATAACATATAGAAGTAGTAAAAAAATAATATTGCTTTCGGATAATAAGGCAAAGAAATCATCTATATTGTAGATTAATAAAGTAGGGTATTCAATGGTTCTAGAGGGTTTTAAATCAAGAAGAACTATATCAAAAAATCAATTAACTGATTTAAAACCAAGAAATGTGACATCAACAAGGCCATAATCTACTCTCTCACTTTTATATCCCTAAGGATGAGATTTTTGTTCTTTCTAATTAGATATATAAATTTAAGTTAAATGGCTTGAACTTACATCTCATGCTTATTCTTCTTTGAGTAGCATGAGTTGATCAGCAGAGAAGGGGGGAAAAAATAAAGTGATAATGATGGACCCACAAGTACTAGTTGACTTGTACACATTATAATGATTCAACTCACATGGAAGATATATTTTCAATACGTTATAATCATAGGGAAATCCAACTTACATATCAATAGTTTTGTGTAGGTTGTCGAAGTGACACCTAAAGAAGGGCCATCATCAAATACCTCACATCCTTGCCCCTTGGATTCTACAAAGGTGGGTCTCTTGCAACCTTTTTGACATATAATAGTTGTCTTATTCCTTGCCCCTTGGAAATCTAACTCAATGATCAATGGTTTCCAGCCAATGGCATTGGTTCCTATGAGTCCCATTCTCATTGCCCTTCCTACTGAAGGCAGTTCTTTTACAATCATAGAAATTTTTGAAGAGGAAGAAGAAGAGGAAGAGGAAGGTAAAATCATAATGTCTCTTTTTTTAGGTAAATGATAAGAAACTTCATTAGTACCAAAATAATAGGCTTTATAGTTACAAACAAGAGCAATTGGAAGGACAATTAGAAGCCCTCTTTTTGGAGGGGTTTCATCTAATTCATCCTTCATGCAAAAACCTACAAAGAAAACAATCTTAATATAAACCTAATCATTCACAAAACCAAACTTTTCGCAGAAAACTCTCTTCAACAAGCCTTTGTTTTTGACTTGCACATCTATTACATCTAGCTCTGAGTTCTTGTTTTATCACTCTAGACACTATCTATATAGTGAAGTTATTCCTACTATGAATACGAGTGTCTCTCTTTCCATGTATGGTATATCACTGTAGCAAATTTCTTTGAAGCAAATATTCCTTTGGTTTCTTATTTTGGGTATGATAGGTGGTTTGATAACTATCTGCCGTTGCCAACGGGGCATAAAGGAGGTGAGTTCTTTGATACCAGAGGGTCCACAAATCACTTGTAGAGGGGCTCCTTTACCTCTCATCAATGCTCCTTTGCTTGAGACTTCTATTCAGGGTACTTTCCATGATCTTTGAACAAAATATTTCATCATTTGATTTGCTAACTATATTACTTCATAATTTTTCATAGGTGGCCATTTTGTGCTGCCCACAGTGATGATTTTGATTGAGCAAACTTCTGAAATGATTTTCTATTGAATCTTGTGCCATTGAAAGCTTCAACAAGCCTTGAGAGAAATGTTTCTCTTAGACATCCGAGAGAACTTTCTCTTGGACAAAAGTCCAAGAGAAAAATTTCTCTTGGCATTATTCAAGGGAACTTATTGAATTTCTCTTGGAAATATGTGAGGGAAAACTTCTCTCAAATTTTTGAGAGAAAAATGATGCAGAATTATTTTCATTATATATTCCCATTCCATTTTCCTATTTCTGCCAAACCTTTTTCGTGGATTTGATTGAAAGAAAAGTTCCCCGCCATTACACAGGTGCTTTCTTTCTAATTTTCTAACACTTTTCTCTTAGAATTTCTCACTATTTTTTTTTCATTTTCTTTGAGAAATTCTACAAGAAATTCCATAATAGAGCCTTTTCAATAGTACTTTTCTAAAAAAAATCTAGACAGTTATTGCTTCTTGTAGTGAGACTCTTCCATTTATCCTTCCAAGACTATTTATGGTGAGTTTCTTTGATGTCTTTCAATGAATTTTGTTTGAATTATTTATTTGTAATTGAGTATACTTGTTGGAATTTCTGCAATTTCTTCTAAGGTAGAGGTAGGTTCTATGTACAACAACAACAACAACAACAAGCCTTTATCCCACTAGGTGGGGTCGGCTACATGGATTGCAAGACGCCATTGTGCTCTATCATTTATTAAGCTTTTAGAAATATTATTAATTAAGAGATCACGTTCAACAACTTCCAAGAGTGTTCTCTTAGGCCTTCCTCTACCTCTCTTAATCGGACTCAAAGTTATATGTTCCACTCTTCTCACTGGTGCCTCCCTTGGTCTTCTTTGTACATGCCCAAACCATCTCAACCGATTTTCTACCATTTTTTCCTCAATAGGTGCCACCCTCACTTTTTCACGTATGTGCTCATTTCGAATTTTATCTTTACGTGTATGTCCGCACATCCATCGTAACATTCTCATCTCTGCTACTCCAACTTTATGCTCTTGCTGTCCCGTTAGAGCCCAGCATTCACTACTATATAACATTGCCGGTCTGATAGCAGTACGATAAAACTTTCCTTTAAGTTTATTAGGCACCCTACGGTCACAAATAACTCCTTTAGCTTTTCTCCAATTAAACCACCCAGCTTGAATTCTATGTGAAATATCTCCACTGATTTCGCCATCATTTTGAATAATGGCTCCCAAATATCTAAACTTTTCCACTTGAGGTATAATTTGATCTCCCAATTTCACTTCGAAATTATTTTCGAATAGTCCTTTACCAAATTTACAATATAAATATTCCGTCTTACTTCTACTCAGACGAAAACCTTTCGACTCCAATGTCCTCCTCCATAACTCAAGTTTGCAATTAACCTCTTCTCTTGTCTCTGCTATAAGAACTATATCATCCGCAAAGAGCATACATTTCGGGATTTCCTCTTGAATATGTTCCGTCAAAACATTTAAAATCAAGTTGAACAAATAAGGACTCAGAGATGATCCCTGATGTAGTCCAATCTTTATAGGAAAATCCTTTGTTTGACCACTAGGCGTTCTTATACTAGTTTTTACCCCCTCATACATATCTTGTATGGCTTTAATATAAGCAATCCGTACTCCCTTTTTTTCCAACGCTTTCCAAAGCACTTCTCTTGGTATACGGTCATAAGCTTTTTCCAAATCAATAAAAACCATGTGTAGATCTTTATCTTTACAACGATACTTTTCCATTAATCCCCTTAGTAGATAAATCGCCTCTGTAGTTGATCTACCTGGCATAAAACCAAATTGATTCTCAGAAATACTTGTCTCCAATCTCAACCTGTGCTCAATTACTTTCTCCCACAATTTCATTGTGTGGCTCATGAGTTTAATCCCTCTATAGTTAGTACAATTCTGAATATCTCCTTTATTTTATAAATAGGAATTAATGTACTTCTCCTCCACTCATCAGGCATTTTCTTGGACCGTAAAATCACATTAAATAACTTAGTTAACCATCTCACCCCTTCTTCACCTAAACATTTCCACGCTTCGATAGATATACAATCAGGTCCGTTAGCTCTACCATTTGCCATTTTCTTAAGAGCTTCCTTTACCTCCTTATCACGTATTTTTCGATAGAATGACAAATTTTGTTCTCCTTCACCAGTTACTAAATCCTCCAAGTTACTAGATGAATCCTCTCCATCATTGAAAAGTTTAGAAAAATAAGTCTCCCATCTATTTTTAATTTCATCATCTGTAACTAAAATTCTTCCCTCTTCATCCTTAATACACCTTACCTGTTCTAGATCTCTTGATTTTCTTTCCCTACTCTTGGCAATCTTATAAATATTTTGCTCTCCTTCCTTCGTCTCAAGGTTCTTATAAAAAGAGGTAGGTTCTATGTAGATGTGAGAAATTATGTAATGGATTTAAGGATCCTTAGATTGAAACTCACCCTCTTTATAGTACAAAGGACTTGCATGTTGGCGAAACAAATGGTTTATCTTAATTAATTTTGGATAGTTTCATCCAAGCTTTGCTTCATTCAGAGGGAAGTGATCAAGATGATGTTGGAACTACTAACCAGTTGATTCGAGAAGCTGTTGATACTATTCAAGTTTCTAAGAACTCTAATGCACTTGCTATTGTCCCGAGCAAGGATGGTAATGTTGAAACCATTGGGCCCCTCACCACTTTTTTTGAGCATGCCAGTGATGGGATCACTGAGGAAGTGAGTCTAGTTCAAAATGAATGTGAGGTAAATTCTTCGTGCTTTGATGACGATGAGATCACTAGAGAGAGTGATGCTTCTAGTTTTGATGAACTATTGAGGGATGATACTAGTGAGCACGGTGGCCAAGTAAATAGAAGTGGGGATTTTGGTGCTAGTCTAAGTGCCTTGGAAGGAAGAGAACGAGAGTCTTCCTATTCTAAAGGTCATACACCTAATCTCACTACTATTGGTCATGCTACTTTGCAAATTTTTTGTTATATTTGTTTTCATAATTTGATGATTTTGTTAGGTCGACCTATTAAATATGGCATGAAAAAGTCAGATGTTCAGGTTTTACCACCACAGTTGCCTTCACCTTCACCTCTTTCTTCTTCTCTAGAGACGACGCCTCCTTTCTCCATGACTGATTATGTTTTAACTGTTCCTGGGGTGCAAGAGATAGTTAATATGATGAATTTAGAGGGTGTTGAGCCTTTCTTGCTTGCAAAGGTGTTTAAGAGTCACCCACAGCTACGTCTTCCTACAGAGAATCGAAGCACTCGAATTTTGTTCTTTTCCTATAGAGTGTTGTTGGATATCTTGAACATTTTGGCCACTAGAACTCCCTTATCAATCACTGAGTCAGACAAGAGGTTATTGGCAGAAAACTTGGAGGATGCTTCTACCCTTGGTTTTGACAACAATTGGCTAGAGTCTATCAAGACCAAGGTATTTGGTTGTGATATATCTGAAGCTCATCATGCCCTAGAGCTTCTGAAAGGATTGGATAATAAGCTCAATGCCATTGAAAAAGAGCTTACAACTATCTGTGAGCAGGAAGAAGAGGCTGCTTTAGCCGTGCAAGTGGCTCAAAAGGAGTTAGAGGCAGCCCAAATCCATCTTGACTCAGCACAACTCGAACATGCTAATGTTAAGACACGTCATAGCCAGCTCTTGGAGGCACAACAACACATTTTGGCTCAACAAGATGAATGTTGGGAAGCCATTGCTGCTAAAGATAAGCATTTTGATTTATAATTAAGATTTTATTGTGTGCTTTGTATTTTGTTTTCTCTGTTGTGATTAATGTCATACTTAAAGTAAGGGCCGTGAAACATAATGCTGCAAGATTTGTGCTGTATATAGTTGTCTTTGTTCAAAGGTTATCACATGCAAGTATAAACTTTACGCATGACTTCGATTGAGTTTTGATATTTGATACTATCTGCCATTTGTAATTCGCGAGTTTATCAATGACAGGGCATTTTGTTTACCAAAAAATACCCAATTGCTGTGCAATGTGATGCTAACATTTTTGCTTAGAGGAACAAGTAGGTTGACCATTGTCTCCTTTCTCAAGTCTGGGAAATATATGTGCAGTGGAATATAAGGTGAAATTTCCTAAATTTGGTGTTGTTTTTATTAAATTTTTTTTGTGCATTGTTAATGACCAAAGTCTACATTGTATTGAAATTGGGAGAATTACATTCAGGGTCCCCAAATGATTTACAATAGCAATGAGGGCTTAGAACAAAAAAAAAAAAAATAGCATGAATAGTACAATTAAATCGCTGAACCTTGTCTTGTGCATCATTGAACCTTTTGTTATTTTTGGTTCTCAGTGTCATCTTTTTTCCATCTGGGCCTCTAAATGCAATTCTTCCTTTTTTTCCCCCCGAAACAAGCAAATATTTGTTATTTTTGATAGACCTTTGCCTTGGAGATGGTAGAAATTGCTATGGCATCATGTTAGAGCATGAAATAAGCATAACTTGTCCTAATTACCTCCAATTCCAATAACATATTTTGGTACTCTTATTTTTTTAAATTTTGGTCAACATTTAAACCTCCATATCTTGAGTGAAACTAGTTTTTATTTTTAATAGAAGATATTCCTACTTTACCAAATTTAAAAATGGACTATTATTGTTTCAAGAAGTAGGGCAGTTGAGATTTTTTTTTTTCTTTTGGTTACTCATTATGAGAGGCTAACTTTTTCCGTTAGACACAATCTTTCACAGTGGTAATTGAGAGTTTTAATGTGATGAAGAAAAGGAACACTGATAGAAGAACAAGGAGCTCACCTCCCTTTTTATTAAAAAATAAATTACATTATAATAATTTTAAATATAATTTGTTTTCAAATTATGTTGTAAATTATTTTCTTATGATTTTATAAAAAAATACGTTACAATATTATTTGTTCGAAAAACATCTCATTTGTTATTGAATAAGCTTAACCCTCTATTGATTCAGGCCTAGAGAATAAAAGGCAATAAAGAGAAGATTTGCCAAGCGATTTTTGCAAGAAAACTAAGAAAAAGTCTGGCCTTTACATTCAAGAGTTTGTTTCACACTCCCAACATCGTGTCAAGTACCTGTGCAGTAAGTAGTGACACTACCAAAAAATGATTTTACAATTTTTGTTTGAGATGAAGCTATTCTCAAATTACTCTTTTTTTATTATTATTTATAGGCATCCTCCTATTAGAGAAAATCTTGTTTGAGCCATGAACATACATTAAATATGAACACCTCTCTCAGTAAAAATTTAATTAATCATATTATAAAAGATTAATATTTTTTTGCCAGGCTTAACTCCCATTGGCTCTCAAATTACTTTTATTAAGGTTTTGGAATAAATTCAACAGATTTTCGGATATCATGAGTCCCTTTTATTTGTCATGCGTGAGGCCTATATTACTGGGCCTCACAGAATAACAGCTTAAACAACGATGCGAGACCAAGGATTTACATGGAAATACACGTGATGTTGCAAGAATTGCAGATTTTCGAATATCCCAGATCAGTCCCTTTTCTTTGTCATGCATTAGGCCTTTGATTAAGGTTTTGGAATAAATTCAACAGATTTTTGAATATCCCAGATGAGTCCCTTTTCTTTGTCATGCATTAGGCGTATAATACTGGGCCTCACAGAATAACAGCTTAAACAACAATGCCAGCCCAAGGATTTACAGCCCATGGAAATACACGTGATGTTGCAAGACTTGCAGTGAAAAAAATAACCTGTTTCATTATTGATTTGTATACCCTCTTTTTTATTCATTATTATTAAACTAAAAATATATAAAATGTAAATTAATAAACTAACTTAGGATTATTATATTATTCAACAATAATGTTCATTTTTTCCAGCTTGATGTAAATAACGTTAAGTTTCCTTGGCGAATATAAGAGAGAGTTGTAATTGTGAAAAAAGGTTGACAAGATGGGAAATGAAGATAGCTAACTAACCTACTTTGAAAGGCTATATGATAAAAATACAGAAATATATATATATATATATATATATATAAACCACTCACGTTTCCTACTACATAAATTTCAATTTAATACTTGTTTTCAAAGAGTATAAATGTTAACTAACGTTGATATTACGTACATTGGAGCGTGTGAATGGTTCCTATTAGATAAATGTGTAACCAAGATACAGTAGTTTTTTAAAGTTATCCCCATTAATAAATATAAAATACACGTTCAAATGTACATTAAAATTTGTACTGCATTGTAAGCATAAAATTAAAGTTATCCCATTAATACAACAAATCAAGGAGGCTGAATTTTGAGAGACACACACACAAAGCATATCTTCAATAAATTAAAGAAGTTTCATGGCTTCTTTATGCTTTTCTTGTCCTCTTACTCTTGATCCCTAAGAAGGAAAAAGTATTTTAGGATGCTTGAAATTCATTAGAGAATTGATAATGGAAATAAAATAATTTCAAAAAGTAGCGCGCACACACACACACACACAAAGCAAGAAGCAAAGAATACGGACTATGACATCAAGAAGAGATTGATGAAACTTGTTCTTCTTTTTGGCCAAACAAAGACTAAAAGGATCATCTTTGAGTGGCACACACTCTTGTGAGATTCTTGCTCTCATTATAATTAAGCTACGGAAACAGATACCTCTCTTTACAATTCATTCATCGATCACTCTGAGTTCAAGTAGTTTGGCTTCTTGCTTTCACCAATCATCAATAAGTTCGATCCACTAATCACTGTCAAGACTCATCAATTGTTGCTTCTTCAATCTTTACAATCAAGGTGTGTATAACTAAACTATATCTCTGTGTATGTTTATTGTTCTTTGCATTATATGCATAAGAATGATTTTCAGTGATATCATCAATAAGTTTGATTAAAATGTTAAATGCTTTCTATGCTTCACTTATGTTAGCATTTAATTATATGTTAAAATCTTATTGGTTTCTTTAACCTTTTTGGAGAGTTAATCAACTTAACAGTTGACAATTTGTCGGGATATATACAAAGCCTCAATAGAAAAATTTGCAGCATATATAGAATTAAGAGTGGGCAAAAATATCCTTATAATGGGAAACCTAAAACTTTGAGAAGTCTAGGTTCTAACTTTTTGCGGCCGTCATGAACTAATGATCTTGAAATACTTTTTGTGATTGTAGAAAAACTTAATAATAACTTGCAACATGAATAGTAAATTTCTTACGCTATAACTTATCCATGTAATTTTATTCAAAATTAAGGGTTAATAATATGATATGGGTCCTATATGGAAAAGTTTTACATAAAAATGTGGTTTATTTATAAGTTCAATGAACACTCTCATCTAAAAGACTCATCATTTAGGACAAGCTCTTCCTTTTATGTTTGTTCTCATAAGTCATAACAGAATATTATGAAACATATATAGTTCAAGTATAAACCATATATATCATGTCATTCCAAAGATGAAAAAAAATGAAAATCATAATTATCGATCCTTATAGTTTTATCAGGTTTTGTTTTTAGTCCTTGTAATTTTTTTCACTGTTTGTAATCCCTATAGTTTCAAAAAGATTGAGTGACATTTATTTTTTAGGTCTCTATAATTTCCATTTTTTCATAATTTTAATCCCTATAAGGATTAAAAATACTGAAAAAACTATAAGAATTAAAAACAAAATTCAATGATATTATAAGGACTAAAGATTATGTTTTCCTAAAAAAAACTTATTATATGGTCAATGCATGTATTATCGCTTTAGATAATATATATATATATATATATATATGCTTTCATTTAAATTATTATATAATTTTCCTCTTGCCCTATACATTTGTAATGATTCTTCAGTCATTAAAACTAAAAATTTTGTTGTAATTTGCGTGGCAGATTCTACATTATTGTCATCCTGCAGTGTGAAGATTTTCCATTTTCTCTTCATTATTTCGTTCTTCTTTAAATTAAAAAAAAAGAAAAACCAGAGGTTTCTTGCTGAACAACATTGAAATCTCTCCCAAAAAAGGTAAAGATTCATTTTGATAGCTTTTTTTTTATAGTTATGTCTATTTTGTAATTTTTGTCTTTAACATATAATAGGTTTGCACTTTTGGCTTTTTAATTCTGATCAATATACCTGCAATAATTATAATATTGACCTTTATTGACAATTAACATTCGTATGATCATAACTAGATAAGATGTTCTAAATTTGTGTATTAAGAATACCTCTTTTTATTAAAAAAAAACAATTTATAGCTATATGAGTGATCAAATTTTCACAAATTCTCCCCTCTATGTTAATTCTGTCCTCATCATTCTATAGTTAATAATAATTATATTATATCAGAAGTATAAAATCATTCATAATATATTTGTTATAAAAGTAATAGGATTTATTGAGTTTTTTATAAGGATGAAGGCAACATGAATTTCACAAGGAGAATAACATTATAAAAATGGGAAAAAATGACAGTGAGTTTTATGGCAATAATAGCAGTCTCTCTCTCTCTCTCTCTCTCTCTCTCTCTCTCTCTCTCTCTCTCTCTCTCTCACTCACTCACACACACAATACTTAGAGAATATTTTTAATAAGAAGTTATTTAGATATTTAAGCTTATATGATTAATGTACTTTTCCACAGGAGAATACTTAACATAGTGTGATTCTTTTCCATACTGTTAAGTTTACAAGAAAATGAAGAATTACAACCAAACAAAGAATTAAAGGAAAAATAATCTCAAGGACTATTGAAGTTAAAGAAAACAGCCCAAAAATAAAACAAGAGGAAGAAAAGATTGATCATATCTTTTACCAAAGTACAACAGGAAAAATGTTAAAAGCTCATAATTACTCTTAAGTTCCACAAATTATTTACCTTTAAATTATTTTTTTATGCCAATTAATGAATGCTATATATAATCAGTTTAAATCTCATACCTTTTATGTAATTTTTATCCATTTTTCTTTTTCTAGTATTAATTTATTGCCTTTTTGTGTTTGGCAGATATTCTGTTGTTTTATTCTGCTGTGAAGAATCTCTTTATTTCTTCATCACTTTGTTTCGCTCCAAATTTGAAAAAGAGGAAAAAAAAAAAAGTAAAAAGGAGATCTCTCTGTCCAACAACATTGAAATCTCTTTAAAAAAAAGGTAAAAATATATTGATCATGTTTCTTTTCATTTTATGCGCGCGCGCACACACATATTTGTATTTGTATTTTGCTACATGTTGTCATTCAAAATTTATAATCATTTTCTTAGAGGTTCCTAATTTTCTTTTATTCGCATAAATTAAAATAAGAAAGTTTTAATGCATGTTTCAAACCTGATGCTGGCAGCATCACATCTTTGCTTTTGATGCAAGGCAAGATTCAACCCAAGTCAATTAAAAATATGATACCCTAAATCTTGTCAAATTAAATTAGCATGACCTTTTTCGGCTGCACTTTTTTTTAATTAATTTCTTGGGTTATTAAAATTTTATTTATTTTTTTAATCACTACACATATCTTATATTTGTCATGCATGTATTTTATATTAATTCTTTTTCGTCAATGCTAAACTTTCTTTGCATTTTTGCTTAACAACAGGTTCTGGGCTTTAGTTTTTCCCGCGTGAAACGTAAATTTCTTCATCAATCAGCTTTAAAATCCCTATAAGAACACATTTTTGGTTGTGTTTCTTTTTATCAATGTTGTTGATGACATAATGGGCATTTGATCACTTATCTTTAAGCATACTTGCTGTAGCAATAACATCTTGGAGCATGTAATAATGACAAAATTTTTTTTATCTGATTTAAGAAATAAGATATATAATTAACTCTTTAAATTTGTAATATTAAAAAAAATCTTATACATATTATAGTCCATTCAACAATATTATTAGAGGAATAAGACGGCAAGAAAATAGAGGAATAAGTTTGTTTGACTAGCTCAGGTTGAGATGAGACGCGAACAATATCAGAAAAATCAAACTCTTTTTTTTTTTTCTTTTTGAATCCGTTACAGTGGGGAGAAAATAAACTTCAGACAGAAACATGACAGAGTCCCAAAAGCCCAGTGCCAGAAGCGTCCTCTTGTAACAAACTCTTTTGTTGTGAAAAAAAAATAGAAATAATCCTTTTGAATCAAAGATTATGATTGGTTCCCATTGTAACAATTTCATTTTTTTAAAAAAAAATTTAAAAATAAATTTATCAACAACTTGTCATTTAATTAAATATGGGATTTTAAAACTTCCAAACTAATATTGGGCCACGGCATTAAAACCCAATTATTTCTACTGCAAGCCAACAAACCAAATCCCTTTTAGATAAATTTTATATAAAAGAAGGTTCAGCCCAATTTTATAAATATATCAAAGGATAAAAATTTATTGTTTAATTCTAAATTATCAATATACTTAAAAAAAAAGGGGTAAGAACACATTTTAATAGTGTTTCGGGCATTTGATCACATATTAGAAATAATCCTTCTGGATCTAAGGTTTGTTTGGTACACATTAATATTTAAGTTAAAAGGAATTGCGATTTCCTTTATACAAGAGAAGTAAAAAAAATAGCCTCACAAGCTTAGGTCAAGGAAAGGTTTCAAGCAACATAAAAAAGAAAAAGAAAACAGAAAACAGAAAAAGAAAAGGCATTTTCTACCATAGAATTAAAAAAAAAAAAGCTTTGTCATAGCTTATAAAACATTTTAACTATTCTGCACCTGCTTGATCTAAAATATTTTAAATATTGATTTTCAGAACTAAGTAGTTTTGTATGTATGTGTCATTTCCCTTTAAAAATATTAGCCTTCTATATTGTATTAATTAACTATTTTGAAACTGTTTGATCTAACATATTATATTTTAAGTATTGAGCCTCACAAACTTAGGTCAAGGAGCTTTCCCGCAGCCGCAACCTCAAAACAAGAAAAAGAAAAGAAAAGACGTTTTCTAGCATAGAATAAAACATGCTTTGCCACAACTTATAAAACATTTAACTATTTCGCGCCTTCTTGATCTATGTATTATTGTATGTATGAATATGGATGGATGGATGCGTGTAAGTATCATTTCTCTTTAAGAATATGAGCCTTCTATAATATATTGAAATGGCGCCCATATTTTGAAAACTCAACTTGTATATATATTTTAATGATGGGACTATCACTATGATTTCTTCCTTTCCTTTCTTGCATTTTTTTTTTCATACGAAAATTTCAATAAAAAACGAAAATAACAAATTGAACTACTCTTCATTCTTACCAAACATATTTTTACCCAAAAATAAACGAAAGTAAAGAAGCCTTCCATCAAGATGGTTAGAGAAATGTCACTTTCCTTGGCAACCTTAATGTTTGTTCTTGTTACAAATTTTGTATCAATTATATTCTATTACCAAAACTAAACTTTTTGTGTGTGTGTTTGACAGATTTCTTGGTGTTGTCTTCTCGTGTGAAAGATTGTTTATTTTTGACGTCTTTGATACTTTGTTCTTGTTTAAATTTGGAAAAGAAAAAAAAAAACTCAAGGAAAGCAAAAAAGAAACAACAGTGAGATCGTCTAGAAAGAGGTAAAACATATTTGTTCTATCATATTTCTTTTGCTCTATAATGGAATGTATATTAGTGTCTCTTTTGAATCTCATACTTATGCATTCTGTACTAATCACACACAAACACACACACACTATACTTAGAGATTATTTTTAATATGAAAATATTTAGATATTAAAGCTTATATAATTAATGTACTTTTCTGTACTGGAATGCTTAAATTAGTGTGATTTTTCTCTGTACTATTAAGTTTACAAGAAAATGAAGAATTACAACCAAATAAAGAAAGAAAAAATAATCTCAAGGACTATAGAAATAAACAGCCGAAAAGTAATACAAGGAAGATCGATTATGTCTTTTACCAAAATCTAACATGAGAAATGTTAAAAGCTCATAATTACTTTGAAGATCCACAAATTCTTAGCCTTAAATTAATTTTTTGATGCCAAGTAATGAATGCTACATATAATCAGTTTAAATCTCATACCTCTAATGCAATTTTTATCGATTTTTTTTCTAACTACTAAATTATTGTCTGTTTGTGTTCGGCAGATATTGTGTTCTTTTCCTCTGCTGTGAAGAATATTTTCATTTCTCCATCAATTGTTTTGCTCCAAATTTGAAAAAGATAAAAAAAGTTAAAAAAAGAAGAAAAAAGGAGTTCTCTTTGTTCAACAACATTGAAATCTCTTAAAAAAAGGTAACAATATAATTGATCATGTTTCTTTTCATTTTATTCTTATATATTTGTCTTTTTCTATATATGGGTTTAATTTGTCTACTAGATTATTTAAAATCGATAATCATGATTTTTTTGCTGCTGTCTTTTTTGTTTGAAAAAGAAAAACAACTGCTTTGGTCATCTACTAAAATTTTATTCTTTTTAATCACTTCGTGTCTTATATTTGTCAGGCCTGTATTTTGTATTGATTTTTTTCGTCAATGCTAAACTTCCTTTGTATTTTTGTTTTATAACAGGTTTTCTGTGCTTTTGTTTTTCCGTATGATAGTAAATTTCTTTATCAAACAGCATTAAAATCCCTAAAAAAAGGGGTAAGAACACATTTTCATTTTGTTTCTATAATGAAAACCTGGAGTGTGCAATAATCATGATAAAAAAATTTATCTGATTTAAGAAATAAGATATAATTAACTCTTTAAAGTTGGAATATTATGAAGATTTTCTTATACTTATGGTCTATACAATAATATTATCAGAGGAATAAGTTTGTTTGACTAGCTCAAATAAAAAAAGATGAGATGAGATGTGAACAGTATCAAAAAATTCAAACCCTTTTGTTGGAAAAAAATAGAAATAATTCTTTTGGACCAAAGGTTATGTTTGGCACACATTATTTAAGTTACCAAGGAATTGATATTTCCTTTATACAACATAAGTAAGCCTTATAAACTTAGGTCAAGAAAAGGTTCCCGGCAACATAAAAAAGAAAAACGGAAAAAGAAAAAAGAAAAGAAAAGAAGGTTCCTATCACTGAATAAAAAAATGTATTGCTAGCTTTCTCATGGTTTATAAAACGTTATTTTAACCCCTCCTTGATCCAAGATATTTTCATTTTTTTTTCAAAAACAAGTGTTGTTGTATGTATATGTGTGTTTCTCATGTCTCTTTAATATTAGCCTTATATATTATATTGAAAGGGCGCCTATTTTTTTGAGCGCTCAACTTGTGTGTGTGTGTGTGTATCGATAAGAGGAATTAATATCATCACTTTGATTTCTTCCTTTCCTTTCTTGCATTGTTTCTTACTAAATTTTCAATACTGAAAAAAATCATGAATTCTACCATCTTGCCAAACACATTTGTAGACCAAAAATCACTTTTCACCAAATATGAAAAGAAGCCTTTCATCAACATAGTTAAAGGCTTAAAGCAATGTCTCACTTGGGAATCATAATGTTTGTATTTGGCACTAAAATTTTGTATCAATTATTCTCTCACGAAAACTAAATTTTGTGCGTTTGTATTTGACAGATTTTGTGGTGTTGTCTTCTCGTGGGAAGGACTAGTTTATTTTTCATCTTCAATACTTTGTTCTTCTTTAAGCTGGAAAAAGGGGGGAAAAAACAGAAAGCGAAAAGAGGTAAAACATATATATCCTATCATATTTCTTTTGCTATATGATTGAATGCATATATTATTGTCACTTTGAATCTTATACTCTTGCGTTTCTGAACTAATTCTACTCTAGTTAATGCTAAAATTGCGTGATCTCTCTTTTTTGCCAGATTCTGTGTTCTTGTATAAGTAACATTGAAATCTCTACAGAAAAAGGTAAGTGTGAATATATTTTAATTTTTTGTCCATGTTTTGTCTTATATATATATATATATATATCTGTCATTTGTTATATATATTTAATCAGTTTGAACTTTTATCTTTTGAATGTTAGCTTCTATAGTCATGCGTGAAAAAATTGACCGTGTAGATAGATAATTAATTGCTTTGAACTTCAACAAGAAAGACAAAAGATATTTCTTATTATAGATCATTTGATGATCTATTTATAATAGGTTTATAGTTAGTATACTAACTATTCACTCCTTTAAAGTGAATTAGTAGTTAGCTGATGATCTACAGTAATACTACATTGAGATTATTGCTATAAATATTGGGTGGCTTGAGCTATGGAATTTTGAGTTCACTTAAGAGACCACCAGAGCTACCTATACTACCATATTCTAGTATTTGGCCTTGGAATATGACTACAATAATACAGAAAATTAGCAATGAAAAAATTCATTTCTATTCAAGGAAAAGTCTGCGACAAACCTATTTTGCTACATATTGTTCAGTTACAAGTTAGGGTGTTGTAATTTTTTTTTGATAGAAAATTGTTTCTACAACAAAATTTCATTGTTTAGTACTCATGAGAACACTTTTAGTTTCATCCACAATCGTGACACCAAGTTAGGTTCCAGAAATATACAACCTTCAAAAGTTGATCCATGACCATCACTGTTAAATTTCTATTGAGTTTATCCTTATCAATAATATGTCATTGACATAGACCAATAGGTCTTTTAATTTATTGATGGTAATGAGTGATCTTATTTGCCTGTGAAACAAGCATGTGGTGCTTGCTATTTGCAGCCATTGGTAGGGAATCCCAATAGGTGAGGGCGGTGTAAACCATAAGGCAAATGAGGCAATTTGACTTAGGCCTCCAAAAAAATTTCTTAACACCCCTATTTTATACATATGTAAGTATGTATGCATTGTTATATGTTTAATTGCATGTCAAAGAGAATAAAAAAGTATTGATTATTCTTCCCATTGAAAAGCTCCAATCATTTCCAATATAACATTAGTTATTGAATAGAGTTCATTATCTACATAAAAAAATAATAGTAAGATCCATAATATTTGTCGAAACGGAACCAACTCTTACGATTGACTAAGTTCCATGATATTTGTCGTAACAAAAATATCACTTGCTGCACACTTTCAACCATGCCCTTATTGTCTCTCCTCTCTCTTCTCTTCAAGTTCTTGCTAAATCATATTTAAGCGCTCAGTTGTATAAATAACTAATAAAAATATATAAAGGATGATTCTATGTATATCTTTCTCTCTTTGGTCTTTTCATGAGTTGTGACACTTGGAGAGTGATTGACAAGTGAGAATTACTTATCTTCAATTATTCGATCCAATTATGATTCCGTAATTTAAAAATTGAAAGTGATTTTTCACTACAAATTATGTTTTGAGACCACTTTTTTACCCTTCTTAAAAACGTCTCTGTTGATGGTTTATAATTAATTATTATAGATTATTTTAATTTATGACATAAGTATCCTAATAATTATTTAAATATTTTCATTTTAATGACACTATATTTCTACAGAGTCTTAGTCCATGATTTTTTATGTGGAACCAAAACAAATGTCTACAAATAAATCTCAAATTGGCCACACCAATTTTATTTGGATTTTTTTATGTGAAACCTATATAATTTAATATTTGTTTGAAATAATTTTATTTTGCGCAAGGAAACTAGTGTTATCTGATATTCTTTATTTTTTTTCCTTAAAAAAATATTTCAGATGATTGCTCCAAATTATGTGGAAGTAAAAACAGTAGTCTAAATCTTGTCCAATCAATGAATATATATATTTTTGGTTTATTAATGAATATTTTCTTTTATGATAGTTAACTATACACAAGTAACATAATTATATTTTTCTTTTTTTTTTTGAATTAGAAAAGTAAACACTAAATAGTGAAGTTATAATTACAAGTGGGATCAAACTCGTGATCTCCCACTTATAAGAAAGCTTACATGCCACTAGTTTATAAGGCTGCCACTGGCAATATAAATATGTTTTTCATTCATTTATTCTATTCCACTTCTCAGTGAATGATTAATTTATAAGAATTTCTAAAACATAAACAACCAAGCATATATTTAATTAAAGTGTAAATAGGCAAACCTACTATTAAGATAAGTAGAAAAATGAACAAAATAAATGAAACATTAAGGGCATGTTTGGTTTTTGATTTCAAAAACTGTTTTCTATTTTTTTTTCTTGGTTTCAAACTCAGGAATTCTAAATTAAATCCTCAAAGATTTACCATGAAGATAAATTTGTTGGTAATTTTTTTCTATTTTTAAAAATAAAAATTTTTAAAAATCATTGGGATAAGTGTTTTAGATTTAACTTTTTCAAGACTGTTCTCAATTTATTTTTAAAGACAAAAAAATGGAAGCATCTAAAAGTTCTTTTCATTTAATTTTTCTTGTTTTCAAAACACATTACATATGACTATTGGAAAATCAAATATAGTTAGCTTGACCAATTTTTATTATAAACAACCATAATTAATTGTCTCCAACTATCACTATCTTCCTATTTTTTAATTTTAAAACTGTTTTTATATTAATATCACCAAACAAATTTTCATTTTGTTTTGTTTTAAAAAAAATTCTAAAAATTGTTTTACAAAATATTTTTTAAAAACAAAAAAAAGAAAAAAAACCAAATAGGCCCTAAGTAACCATTCAACCTTATAACTATTACCTCTTCTTACTTCCCATCAAATGGTTCCATTGTTTCACAATCTAAGGGGTCTTTTGCTTTTTTAGCAATTCTTTTCTTTTTTTTTTTTCCATTTTCTTTTGGATCTCAAGTTACTTTAGCAACTCCTTTATCAGGCTTATAAGCTATCATAATCCAACTTGAAATCATACTAGCCCTATTTTTAGGATAGAAGCTATCTAGCATGACGTTTGTACCATTTTATGATTATATGAGTAACAATATGCTTTTACTCCTACTCTAATTAATCACTGTACCTCCTTAATTTACATGTCTGTCAAATTCCTATATCATTGTAAATTTGGCTTTTACATTCAATTAATAATGTGGCCATGCATTATTTCATAGCTAAATTCTAGATAGTAGGATAGACTAACTATATATCCTCATATCCATGTTAGATGGAGGGCTGCCTTCTTGACCTTGCAAAGGATCAAGTCCCAAATTTGGTGAATCTAGTGAAAAATGAAGTTCAATATTTATGTTGTTTCAATAGTTATGTTGAAAATTTTCATAAAGAAAGGGAAAGGCTGGTTGCAAAGCACAAGGATACCAACATGAAAATTGGAAAAGCCAAAGGTGTTTCAATAATCACGAATGAAGTGCAACAATGGGCAAATGAAGCAAATAGTCTCATTAAAGATAACACTAAAGCAAAGAAGATGTGCTTTTTTGATTTATGTCCTAATTTTTGGTGGCAATATCAAAGAGGCAAGGAATTGGCACAAAACTCTGCAGATTGAAGACCTCCTCGAAAGATGCAATAACGTGAGCATAGTAGCAGGTCGAGCTGATGTTTCAAGCATAAAATACAATATGCCACAAATCTTCCTTGATTTTGAGAGTAGAAAATCAAAGTTTTAAGATCTAATGAAGGCATTAGAAGATGAAAATTGTAATATGGTTGGATTACAAGGCTTAGGAGGAACAGGCAAAACATTGATGGCATTAAAAGTCAGTGAAAATCTTGAAGGATCTCATTTTAGCAAAGTTATCTTTCTTGTTGTGTCTAAGCCTCCTGATTTCAAAAACATTCAACGTGAAATTGTGAGACAATTAGATTTGAAATCAAAGGATGAAAAGGAGGAAGAACTCTTAGAGGGAATATGGTCCCAAATCACTAGTATGGAAGAAAAGCTACTTATAATACTAGATGATATGTGGGAAGAGTTTGATCTCAAGAAAAAGTTAGGGATTCCATCTATCTCCCAGCATAAGGATTGCAGTGTACTGATAACTACATGCAACATAAACATTTGTCAAAATATGGGATGCCAAAAGATCATTCAACTAGAGAAGCTAAATGAGGAGGATGCATTAAATCTTTTCCATGCAAATGCTAGTATGAATAATTCCAACATTTCTAAGAAGTTAGTTTGAGATATTGTGAAGCAATGTCGAGGAGTACCAGTTGCAATTGTAGCAATTACAAGAATGTTAAAAAAATTGCCTGCTAATGATTGGAAGGTTGCTTCGATAACCTTGAAGACTTTTATGTCAATGCTTGATACCGATGATGAAAATTTAAAAGATGTTGGTAAATGCTTGAAGTTAAGTTATGACCACTTGAAAAAAGAAAAGGCCAAAGAACTCTTTTTGATATCTTCCATGTTCCCAAAAGATGAAGAAATTCCTATTCAAGTTTTAACTAGAATTGGTATAGGGTTAAGCTCTTTTGGAAAAAATGACAAGTATTATTCAAAAGAATACTGGAAGTGCATGTTGCTATAGGGGAACTCATAGGTTCTTCTTTGCTGTTGAGTGGTGAAAGAGATCTTGTGAAGATGCATGATTTGGTTCGTGAGGTGGCCTTGTGGATAGGAGACAAAGATATTCAATCAATCACGGATTCGAAAAAGTCTATAAAAGAGAACTTGAGATATTTGCTTTGGAAGAATGATGATTTTCCTAGTGAATTTGATGGAAAAAAATTAGAGTTCCTATTAATCTTTCTAAGTAGTTCAGAGGACTTAGAGGTCTCAGAAACATTCTTTAATGAGATGAGAACGCTTAGAGTTTTCATTTTGGATCATTATAGTTACCCAAGAATTAAAGTTCTATCATTGGTAAATTACTTCAATCATTAAAGGATATTCGAACACTCATCTTGAAGAATTTAGAGTTAGGAGACATCTCTATCTTAGGAAACTTGTTGAGTCTTGAGACTTTTTGGTTTTATGATTGTTAAATCATTAAATTACCAATAGAATTTTTGAAATTAAAGAAGTTGAGATCATTGTAGGTAGAAGGATGTGAAATTGAAGAGAATAATCCTTTTACAGTGCTTGAAAAATGCTCACAATTAGAAGAGTTAACTTTTATTGGTAATGAATGTGATGCTAAAGAAGAAGATGCAATTTCTTAAAATAGATCTCTTCTTACATTAGATAAATATTGTATATCTTCTGATGATCTTTTAGATTATTTTGAAGATCTTGGTTCCATGTCAAGATACTTTCAAATGGACAAACTAAGTCATTTAGTCTCAGATGCAACATTTAAGAAACTTGTGGAAAGAGCCGAACTTCTTATCTTGGAAGGCGAGGGTGAACAAAGAATATGGAAGAATCTTGTCCCGGATCTTGTTGCAATAGATGAGGGAGGAATATTGAATGATTTGATTGTTCTTCATTTGTGCTCATATCCTCACATGGAGTGCTTTGTAAATGCTAATAATCTATCTAGATTTTTTGAGAAATTAGAGATTGTAGAGTTGAAAGATTGTGAGAGATTGAAGAGCATATTTTCTAATGGTAACTTCAACTTATGTCGTCTCAAGTCCATAAGATTGGAAGATTGTCTAATGTTGACATCAATTTTTCAGCCATCCACTACTCAAAGTCTTGAGGAACTGGAAGAATTAACAATTAAAGATTGTAATAAGCTGGAACACATCATAAATGATGAAGATGGTGATAGTAATCAAAAGAGTTACAATGACTTACCGTTGTTCCCAAAATTTAAAAATTTTCAAATTAAAGGGTGCAACAAATTAAGAGTAATATTGCCAATCCTATCTCCTGGAGGCCTTCCATCTCTAGAAAAGATATGTATATGTGAGAGTGAGCAGTTGGAATACATATTTGATAAGTTCCAAGAGGAGGAAGATCCTATTCTCCCCTCACTAAAAGAGATGAAACTTTGTGGAGTACCAAGACTAAGTGGAATTTTTAGAGAATATGAGCAACTCAAGAGTTCATCAATACAAAAGCTATTATCTCCACTTTCAAGACAAAAGTCCAACAGGATACATCAAAGTCCTGCCACGTGTGCTCTCTCTTGGGCTCATGCATGCTGTTTTCCCAATAAATGGAGGCCTGCTAATGAAGAGACCAATCTTGCTGTTTCTAAACATAGACCACTTGACCACACAAACCTAATGGTATGCTACACTTGCCTTATTTCTTTCCTTCAAGTGTCTCATATATATATATATATATATATATTGTTCAAGGAATATAAATATAAATTGCCAACTATTTCAAAGAAGAAAATGGCTCACAACTGAACAAAATAAGCTTTGAACGTTGAAAGTATCTACTATATGAATTGCCATTATTTAAAGGTAATTTGATTTTTTTTTTAGATGCATGATTGAGTTAACTTGTAATAAGATTTTGCAAGCACATCTTGTTTTAAAAAAAAATTGGTAAAGAAGTAAGGCTAAAAACATCCACAGATATATATATTTGCGTGCTTATGCCTCGTGTATCTAGAAATTTAAAATTAATTGAGTATAATCAAATATATATATATATATATATATAACTAACATGCTATATATATATGTAACTGAAAAAATTTGGCATGTATATTTGCCAATTAGATGAAGTGCTATTTTCCTAGATTTCATATCTCCATGCATTACTTAAAAAATTAAATTAAGTTGTTTAATTGTTGAATAACAATGCTGGTTTGTAGGGATTACTTGTATCAAAGAAATGGATTGAAACTGTTGCTACCATTGGGAGACAGCTACTCCATGTTGTTCATATCAAGAAGATGGAACTTGCAGATTTCTCTTTAAATTCAAAATCAACACTGTTCACTTTATCCATGGCTTCAATGATATTATGCGAAGAATTGACAATTAGCAAATGTGATAGATTGAAGCACTTGGTAACCAGTGATGAAGATGATTATAAAGATCAAAAAAAGTGTAGTTCCATTTTTCCAAACTTAAAGAAGCTAGAAATCAGGGAGTGTAATGACATGGAATTTTTATTTTCATCCACAATATCATTAGAAATTAAATATTTAAGGTCTTGGACGATCAGAGATGCTCCTAAACTAACACATGTTGTTGGGAAATACTATCATGAGGATCTTTTAGCAAATCAAAATCAACAAAATGAGCTGTACTTTGATCTCCCTGCTTTGGAGTTCCTTTGCTTTGAAGGTGTACCAAATATGATAAGCATTTGTGTCAAGAATTATTATTTCTTGGTACCGCCATCTCTTCATACTGTTTCTTTGGACAATTGTGGCATCATATCTTTTATTGATTTTGATCCTTTGGTCGAGGGAAGAATGCTTGAATTGGGAAATCATAAAGGTATCACTCTTGTTAACTTACTGTTATTTGTTTTGCTTTATGCATCATAAATGACTTTCTTTGGTTAACAAATTAGATCTCTATTATTTTTCCCAATTTTCTGATTTTACTACATGATTAATGCCTTTTTTATTTTTAAAATCTCAATTATTGTCTTAATTTACTTGATATATGTCTCCATTTATTTATTATAATAATTTAGGTTATATAATTAGAGTTGGTAATATGGGCCAACTCACAAGTTATGGGCTGGCTTGCAGCAGATTGTGGGCTTGGTAGAATAAGTTGGTATAACCCACATTCTATGTGGTCTATACGTCCACCAACCCATTTTTACGGACTAACCTACTAGTAAAAAATGCTTTACTATTTTTTAGTGTTTTTTGCAATAAACAATCATATTTTCTTCATAAAACTAATTATTAAAATAACAATACAACTCCTTCTAAATCCTTAAAGAAACACAGTACAAATTTAAAATACATTAATACAATCCAAAATAATATATATATACTATCAACAAACAAACATAGTAAAAAGTTTAAATTCATAATATTAGAGGCTTTATTAGAAGTTGAAATAACATTAACTTGAGTAGATTTTTTCAAAGCTTCATTTGCTGACAAAAAAAAGTATTTTCCTTTTTTCTTCTGGAAAAAGTGGCGGGAAGGGGGTAAAAATATCTACAATTATATGGTCTGCAAGAAAGGTAGAGTCAATGTTTGATAATTACGCTCCTTCTCTCTGTTTTGATTTTTTAATCTCTTTCCATATAACATTTAATTTTATAAAATTAGAAGATTTGGACTCCAAAAATAAAATGAATCCCGTACACTTCCATTTTTTTGTGTTATTTCTCATACAAGTTATAACATTAAGTACCATTGTGGGTCGTCAAATTGAAAAAAAAAAATAGTATCTTTTCACGCCGTCTTCAAGAATGACAAAATAATGTTGGCGAAATATCTAAAATATTTATTTTGGATTTTTTTAAAAAAATGGACGAATAAAAATAACTTGCTCAGAAGAAATGTTAATAAAATCAAGATATGAAAAATTATTTGTATAACATGTTTTGTTTAGAAATTTGAATGTATTGATTTTTGGAAGAAAAAAATAAGTGGGCTAACCCACTAACCCATAAGTTAGCTCACTGCGAGTTCAAGTTATGCAATGTAAGCCAAACCCAACCTGCATTTAAAGAAACTCATTTTTTTCAACCTAACTTGCCTTTTTTGGCAGGTTGAGCCCAATAACTTAACATATATTACTAGCTCTAATATACTCTTATATAATAATTTACAAGAGCTTTTTTTTTTCAATGACATAATATTCATATGTCTGATTTATTTAGGACTGTTCAAAGTATAGCACGGTGACAAAAACTATTTTTTAAGATTTTAAGGTTGATGAAGAAAAAGAGAAATATGGCAATTATATTAGTATGACAACAAAAAAGTGAACAAATCAAAATTTGACCAAAATGATGGCTTTTTGACAAAATATAACTAATTACTAAACACCAGTTAAGCTTGAAAATGAATTTTGTTTATTGTTTGGTTTCAATTTGTTTGTCAGCAGGAAACAAATGCATACAGAGATGGAGTCACCAACTTACAAGCAGTCCAAGGCCCATTGACTCAATCATTGAAAAATATCAAGGATATGAAACTCCAAAACTTTTCAAAGCTTGTATCATTGTTCACTCTACCGACTGCCTCAACGATTTTGTTAGAAAATTTGACAATCCGAAGTTGTCATCAACTAAAGTACATTGTAGAAGATGAAGACAATGCTCAAGTTTCCACGAATTGCTGCTCCATTTTTCCAACTTTAAAGAAGCTAGAAATTGATGATTGCAAAGGGTTGAGATTTTTATTTCCATCCTCATTATCATTATCTGTGCAACTTAAGAGTCTCAAGTCTTTGACTATCAAGGGTGCTTCTGAGCTAAAATGTGCCATTGGGAAATACAAACATGAGGATCATTTATCCAGTTAAAATCAACATCATGAGATGCACTTTAATCTCCCAGCTTTAGAGTCCCTTTGCTTTCAAGATGTCCCAAAGATGGTAAGCATTTTAGATTAATTGCTTGTCTTGAAATGCTAAGCATTGGCTATACAATAAAATACTACATAGAAAATTAAAACAGAACAATTTAATTTGTTCTTAAAACTGTTACAAAAAAAAGGAAACATTATCAATCAATTATTTAAATTAACATATAAAATTATGTCATTCAGTACCAAATTTATCTTATATTTCTATTTTCTTCCTATCCTAATTTTCTTTTCTTTTCCAAAATAGTATATTTTTGGATGTTACTTATTCATTGATAGATATGATGAATAGAAAAAGAAATTAATGCAGAAATTACATGTGAGTGTATATGTATGAGTATACATTATAATATGAAATTTCCACAAGAATTAAAAGTAAATAGAAAAAAGAAAAGAGATTAAAAGGTAGACCTTAAACTAATAGGTTAAAGTGTATTTTTGATCTTCTAATTTTATATAAGGTTTCAATTTTAGTTTTTTAATTTAAAAAATATATTTTCATATATCTAACCCTAACACCGCTAGTTTTTAATGTTTATTTTTTTGTGTCAATCATTGTTATTTTAGAAAAATTAAACTTAATATGTTAATATTTGAGAATATTTTGTCAATATTTAAAAGTTTAATGTATAAATTTTGTTATAATGAAGCTGACAATATTGGGGTTAAAAGACTAAAAAATACTTTATAAAATTAAAAGACAAAAAAGAAACCTTATGTAAAGTTAAATGACTAATGTTCTTTTAAAATAATTTTTATGTGCAGATTTTGTTGATTATTGTTTGCATTGATATGCATATAATTTATGCATTTGTAGGGACTAGATTTATCCACAGATGCAGTTCATCGAGCTTTTCAAGCTACTCAGAGCCTCACAAGGCAATCATTTATCAATATTAAGAAAATGGAACTTGTGAATTGTGCCAACTTAATATCATTATTTGCTCAACATGATGCTTCAATCCTTTCCTTGGAAGAACTGACAATCAAAAGATGTCATCAACTAAAATGCATTGTAGCAGATGAGGGAGGTCCTACAGCTCATATGAATCACAAATCCATCTTTCCAATGTTAAAAAAACTAAACAGTTCAGAATGCTATGCAATGGAATATCTATTTCCAGCACCTGCTTTTAGATCCCACATGCATTTGGAGTATCTTAGAATCGATGATGCTCCTAAGTTGGAATATTTGCTGGGAAGAAGCTCTTATGATAACAATTTATCTCATCAGAATCAGAATATCTAAACTTGTATTGATTTCCCTGCTCTCAAAACACTATGGATATATAATGTGCCAAAACTTGTTAACTTGTGTCCTGAAAACTTTTGTTTGAGAGGGTTATCTCTGGAGTTCATTACACTGGATATTGATATTTCTTCTATGTTTAGCATCAGATCTTTTAATGATTTTATAGTTTGTGATCATGCAACACAACAGGACTCCACAACCACAAAGGTACCACTCTGTTTTACCTTCTCTCCTAGTCTTATTAGTAATTATGTTGAGCAATCTTAGTAGATGTTATTTGATAATTTTTGAGTCATGACTTCATATTACAAATTAAAATTGAAAAAGATAATATTCATTTACATTAATCAATATTGAATTAAAAAAATGGTGAAGAACAATTGCCTCTGTTTTGCATGTTTAATAATGCACAGCGTGGTTGAATTTTTAATCACTTCACACATTCACATATTTGAATGCTAATGGTAAGCTAAGTTTAATAACAATTGCCCACAAAGTTTATTAACATATTAATGTTGAAAGGTGAGAATGACATATACTCCTCTTTCCCATTCAATAAGTCCTAGCTAATCCCCATTTTTCGACAAAATAGAGTCTTGTTAAATTCTCATTTGCTTAACACATATATGCATTTCAGTGTTAATGTTTGGTTAGTTAGCTTTTCCATATTTGGCTAAGGATAAGGAGCATATTGTCATGCTATTGAGTTGATCTAATTCAATAATTGTTACCATATGAAATGGAATCATGATCTGAACATCAATACTCCCCTACTGTTACTAATCCATGAATAAGCAAGTCTTCGGAACTCCCCGTTAATGGCCATGATTAATAGCTTGTAACATATGTAACTCCTTTAACCTATGTTAAATGTTTTGTCTAATAATTTAGACGAAAATGTCCATGTACGATCAGTATAAATAGGTTTCAAAAGTTGTTCAAGGATGATCAAGCAATAACAGAGTAATTTCTTCCTATTTGATAGCGTTTAATTATCACTTGTTCTGTCGAGTTTCTATACCACCATATCTTAATTAACAAATGTATTTTTCACTAATTTTTATTTTTGTTAATTGAGTAAGAATAATTTTATATACTTTAATTTAATTCGATTCTTTCTTCCTCCCCTATTTTCTCTGATGTTAAAATGGTGAAGGACAATTGCCTCTGTTTTTCATGTTTAATAATGCTAGTGCTGCAATCACTTCACACGTTCACATATATCAATGTTAATGGTAGGATAAATTTGATTACAATTACCTACAAGTTTATAACATATTAAATGTTGAAAGGTGAGCATCACACACTCGCCTTCCCCATTCACTGTGTCATTTGCTAGTGCCTTTTTTTTCCAACAAAATAGAGTCTCTTGAATCATATTCTCAATTCACTTGACACATTTTTGTGTTTCAATGTTAATGTTTGGTTGATTAGCTTTTCCATGTTCTATCAAGGATAAGGAGTATACTGTTATGCTAGTATATGTTTGATCTAATTCAATAATTATTATCAGATCTTTAATATCAAATGCTTTTATCTCTAATTTTTATGATTAAAAAGATATGAAAATTTTTAGAAAATAAAGATTTAAACTAACTTTTTTTAGAAATGTAAATTTGTTACCAATGACTTATATTGCGGTATGGAGGAAGTATGTTTTTTAGTGTTAATGATTGGCCAATTAGATTTTCCATAGTTTGTTAAGAATAAGGAGTATTTTTGTTATACTTGTAGG